AAGTGGGTGGTTTGTGGAATGGCAAATGGTGCCAATCAGGGTCCAAATCAAATTACACAAAACTCGATTTGCGTTCAGGTTCGTTTTCAACTGCCATAAAAAGTTGGCTCAACTTTAAAACTAATTTATTTCGGAAATAAAACTTTAAAGAAGGCACATATAATTAAAACGTTGGCCTTGGTCTATATATATATTGTTCAATTTCTGAAAAACTATCTTTAATATAGCAGCTGTGATAAGCCTTGATTTATTCACATACCATTTATAACTTTCATTTGAAACTATTTAAAATACAGAAAGTAGAAGCTCCACCATTGCACAATTAAATGGTTTCTGCTACATAAACGAACACGTAACCAAACTCTAGAAGTTCATTTAATTAAAGGTAAAAGCGTTCGACGTAACCATTAATATTTATGGTCTCAACCTTTTCACTCTTTCTTTTTAACTCACGCTTGGTTAACTGGAATTTCTTCGTCTTTGTGAGCCAACTTAAAAAGGAAATTGGAGATGTAGCGAAGCGCATGGAATTTAAATGTGAGAATTTCAGTTTTCTTTTTATTTCTCGCATTTTTTTGTTGGAGATAAAAAAAAACACAACAAAAGGGGGAAAATATGAAAATTCGCCAGAAGTCTGGCACAACCTTGGAAATGGGAATCAGTTTCAACCCTTTCGGTGGTTAAGGGAACAGCACAGAGCCCCAAAAAGAAAAGAAAACCACCCACATCGTATTACTGGGTCAGGTTTTTCTCGAGCCGTCCCATTTTATTTTTTCCTACCGCTCGTTAACTGCCCAGCAGAACTCATTTCATGTTGTGTGTTTTTTTTCGTCTTGCCACTGCAGCAGCATTAAATACACATATAATTTGGCAAAAAAGGGGGGCAGGTGGGTGTGGTCATGAGCCAGGCGTATCTGATGTTGTTTTGGGAGTACATAAAAGTAGGCGAATGAACTCTTTCTGCAAAACGAAGCAAAGTCCCCAAAAAAAGGGTCAAGCCACATGTATTAAAGAACTCTTATATCTGGATACCCTTCAGGCTAAGACTATAATCAATTCCTATAAATTAAACAGATATTTTTAATCATTTTCATGTGAATTTTAATTACACTAAATTTACATATATCTTTATTCATTTTAAAACTCATTTAATATTCCTCGCAATCATGGTAACTCAACAAAACATTGTGCTGTTTTTGCCAAACAATTTCAAAAGTTTTGATTACATTTAATTATGATTCTGGGATTACACATACATTTTATAGCCCATGAAAATTTGTTGTACGACAGAACTCTAAATTAATTTTGCTAGCTATGCAAAATCTACGCCCACATTCGTGTGTGTGTGCTTTTAGTCCAGTTTGGATGGCCCCCATGGGTCATATTGAAATCCACCCACAATCCAGCCTCACTTCCCACACACCTCTGAGCTGAAACTCATCCGACGTGCCATGAAATTTGTTTTCAATTAACAAATTGTTTCGAAGCGACGACAAAAAATCGATAGCTAAGCCTTTTTCTACCTCATCCTCTTTTTTTTCTTCTAGTTTTGGCTAGGGCATAAAAATCTATGGTTTTTTGGTAAAATTGAGTCTACGCCAGAAATATCTTGTGGTTTTACACAAAGAGAAACAAATATTAATCTTCTCCATGAAAACAATTTTTCTCTGCCAGTACTCTGTTGCCACACATACAGTATACAAAAATATGAAATCAATTTTCTTCAGTTGTCTTGCTTAAGAAAATTCTTCATTTTTTATTTCTCTGTAGTTAAATTCCAAGCCTTTCATGCGCTTCGGATGTGAAAAATGCAGGAAGCGGGATTCAGGATGCAGGATGCAGGCTTCCTTTTACTTTGTGCATTGCAAATTCCTACATGGTCAGATCAAGTCAAGAAAAACGAAACTTTAGTCCTGCAAATCAAAAAGTTTTCAAGTTGTCGAGAGCATCTTGGCAGACAAGTTTCAACAGTTAACACGACAATGACGGTTCTAAAAAAAACTTCGCACATCCGAGATGAGATAAAGTGCCCCAACTCACACTCAAGTTCACATAGATATTACATGTACTGGATATTCATTAGGTTTCGCAAAAATGACTTCTACTTGTGAATCAATAAATCAAAGCGTGGGCTGACAGCTAGCAACAAAACAAAAAATGTAGTCATAAGCCGGTAAGATTTGTGACTCACCAGACAAAGTTAAGATACGAAAAACAAAAAAAAAAGAGGATACAAAAACTCCCACATCGCAATCGAGGGGAAAAACCGGCCATTTGTATTTGGCAAGACATCAAAATAATAGATAGACAGACAAATAAATAAATATAAATAAAAGCAGAACCCAAGTGAAAAAATAGATAAATATATAAATTGAATTCATGACTTGCAGATATGTACATGTATACTGCAAGGGGGCGTGGCACTGCAGTGGTGTCATCAAACTCTGCTGGCAGAAAAGAAGGCTGACGGAAAGCCAGAAAAAATAGGAAAAAATAATGGTATAGCATCCAAAAATACCTGGTAAAATATTACAACTTTTTGGGATGGATTGTATTAAAACTAGTTTTGTAATAGTTTAAATTTCTTTTTGAACCATTTTTTATTGGTTTAGTAAGGGTGTTAAAGTATTTGTTTCTATACCAAAGAAAATATTCATCTGTTTTATAAACAACAGGATTAAAGGTATTTTTTTAAATTTAAAGATTTTTATTTTAGTAAATATCCAGCCCAATATACCCTTTACAAAAGGGTACCCAATGCTGCGGGTATTTTTACCACATGGGGGCTTGAGAACAAAAAGGCAAACAAAAGCCATGTGATAGAGCACAAAACAAGGTAAAAAGGCAAAGACATTGAAAAAATGGTTACATGAGAATGCGGTGGATGGGGGAACGTCACTCAAGGGCTGAACTTTTAATTGCATTCGTACGTATCTGATGGATTCACCTTACAATATGTTATAAGGGTAAAAAGAAAAGAGAGCCGTAAAAACAAATTGAAGCACTGCCCACACACCTTTCTTATCTAAGCCAACTGATAGACCATTATCAAGTGATAACAACGATGATTCATTAGTTGCCTTTGGACAGCTCATCGTTTTTAGTGCGGTTACGTCTAGTATATTTGTACAACCGAAATAAGCCGTTTAATTACTAATTGTGGTAGAATGTAAATAAATATTTATCGCCCTAGCGTCATCAAGAGTGTGGGTGGAAAGTTTTGTATTACTGTGTGCAGAAGGAAGAATTAGACATTATTATTATTAATGATAGGACTATATAGGGGCACCTTTTTCTTCATCATCAACAAAAAAGTATGATATTTCAGTTAGAAGTCTTATAGCGAAAGCGCTATTAAATGGAACCACACTTTTTATCAGAGCATGTGCCTATGATAAATTAGAGAATCACTCAGGAAGTGAATGGAGCACAAAAGTATAAGGTCTCTGGGTTACAGCGATGACTCAATTCAAAGCCTACATTGTAAATCGGGGGAGGCGCGAACTCTCTGCATGTTCGAATCACATTAGAGGGGCGATACTTTTTCAGCTCATTCAGAATACGCTGACAGGAAGTGATGGGGGAAAACGGAATGAAATGATACATGATAAACGGCGTATAATATATAAAACTTTCACAGATGGATAATGGTTTCGAATTAAACACGCAACTGACACGATATCGCGCTCTCCCCGGGGTCTTGTTTAAAAAGGAAGATACGAAAAAGTCAAATGAATAGGGTACAAGAAGTAATATGCCTTTAGAAATGGTAGAGTTTATAAAATAATATCACGAACTTCAAAGTTCCATATAAAAACAAAGAGAGCCTCCGATAAGACCTACATTTTTTTAATGTAATGGTTGAAATATTTCACAGCTTGAAAAAGCTTGCAAGACGTACTCAGATCTGGGCTTTCACAGCCATATTTGTTCAACCCAAAAAATGACTGGATGCGAATCGTATGAGATCATCAATGGCAAGATGCTTTGTTATAAGTAACGTATAAAAACACCATATGAGAAAATAAGTGCCATAACTTTGTTTTCAATTCATTTGTATGACGAAGCTTCACAAATATACGAATGAGGCATTTAAACAAGGGCCTTTGGGCAGCATCCGTAATTGATGACAAATCGAGTGCAATCACTTGCATTCACGTATAAAAGCAATCAGCTAAACTAGCTTTTTACTAGTTTAATAATGTGATTAAGGAGAAAGAGAACATTTTATAATTATTGCTCTATTAATATTCATTATCTCGTCAATTGTGCATATCCCATTTAGTTTAAAAGCGTGTATTAATTAAACATTTTTTTTAATGACAGTAAGATGAAAGGAGCCGAACGACAGATAGAAATGAAAGCGACGAGGAGAAGAACAAATAGAGCATGTCATTCATATAAGAAATAGGACTTAGGATGGACTATACGATACTTTAGTTTCTTAATTAAAAAAAACTCTAACCTTTGGTAATTGTTGAGATCCAAGATCTTTTAGATAATCTTTTTCTAAGATTTGCCCAAGAAAGTCCTTATTATTAGGGATATGGACCTCTAGATAACTAGAACTTGGTATATTCTCTTTATCTTAGAGGTTTCAAAAGTTTTGTAGAATATTTTTAAAGACCCGGATCTAAAATGGTATAGGCCCAAGTACTTGTATAGGGTATGTGGTATAATTAGCTTTTCTTTGTTTTGCTTCATTCGTTTGCCAAGATCTTGTTAGGCCCTCTCTTTATCGCTCCCTCTGTTTCGCACTCTTGAAACTCGAAATGTCACAACACAAAGGGCACGAATTCATTAATAGAAATGGGCGGAATTTCAGGGGAAGGGTTGAGGGCAACTTTCGAGGACATGGAAACGCGACCTTCGCAATTTTTCAATGCTGAACTGGACAAACGCGACAAGTCACGAGGGAAACCCTGGCGTAGAGAGAGTAATTGCGGGAATTGCCGATAAAAAGAATGCTAAATGTTGAATAATTATTGCGTATTACTCACCTCAGCGCGTGGGAATGGAGCATTGCAGCTGTTTTTTATATGTTGTTCGATGGCGTTGGAAGCTTTTGGTCTGGAAAACATTGGAATACCGGAACCGGGACTGGAACTTCCACTGGACGCAGAGGGCGTGGCAAGGCGGAGTCGCGTTTATTTTTCTCGTTTATTTTGATTTTTTTCGGGCTTTGATTGCATTTTTGTGGTTGGAATTAAATTGCAGCTTGATTGATTGACATAATACGAAGTCATTTGATTTTTTCGCAATTTTCTCGCTTTTCTTTTCACTAAATAACGCGGTGTTGTAACTGGGTTTTTCTTTGCTGTTTTTAGTTGCTGTTGTGGTGGAAACGTGCTGATTGTTGTTGTTGCTGTTGTCGTTGCAGTTTTGGGTTTTCTTTTTCGCTCGTTCAAAAGATCAAAAGGTGAATTAACAAATCCAAAAAAAACGTGCACATAATGCAGGTCTGACATTTGCAGGTGGTAATATAATAATCAAAACATAAATTCACCAATTCGCGTGAGTTCGAGTTCAAATTGGTGCATAGTAACAAAATTTACATTTCCTACTTAAAAGCGAAAGCATTTCTCCGAGTGTATCTTAATCACAATAATTCTCAAAAACTCATACACATTACGTTTGGTATTTTTTGTTCAGTGTTATTAATTAGCATAATGATTTTGCATTGCCTGAATTGTACTACAAAATATGTGTAGATAATGCAGATTATAGGCCTGGATGAGCATGCTACTTGCTTGCTTGGATTCTATGTGGTTTTCAATTTATTTTGAGTGTTTTTCATTTAGTGAGTGCAGAAGAGTTGATTGGTTTGATTTATTTGTTAAATTGTTTTATTTTTACAGCCGCATGCCAGAGAATATTTTTGGGTTATGTATGAGGAATATATATATTATTTGAATTTGCATTCCGATTGTTAGTTTTTGTGATGTGGGGGCGGGGGGAGGAAAGAAAGGAAAAATAAATTAGGTTAATCAAGAAAGAAAAAGTATTAAAATGTGTGTGAGTGTGGCTTTTTTGTGAGTGTGAGAAATGAAATCATAGCTAAAATCGAAATCCATTAATTTCTGTTAACTTTTCTGGCCTTTACACAACGAAAAAACAACAAAAGAAAACGAGTTTTTTAGGAGAAGTTAAACAGCAAATAAATAAAAAAAAACTTGCACAACAGAAAAAACTGAATAATCAACTTTAAATTTAACAGTTTACCGATCAATTTGAGGCTGGTAATATGTGAGTGTGATTGAATTGTTTACCCCTTTAAAAGTCAGCATTCCATCAACTTCCTCGGTTTTTTTTTATGTGTATTTCGTTTGTTTTTTTCGTTTTCGCTTTATCATCTTCATTGAGAATTTCGGAGTTAGCTATTTATCTAGTTTTATATTTGTATAATATATATGCTGTGTGTTTTGTATAATTTATATATATATTATATGCATTCAATAAATATGAACATGTTAAGTAAATAGCATTATAGTAAATAGTCAATATAGTTATTATCTCGTATAATAAACAATCTTTTTATAATAAATATTCAAAAGTTAACTAGAGATTTGTTGCATCTTTCTCTTCCTCTTCTTGATCATCGGTGAGTGAGTTTGTGTGTGAGTGATGGGGCTACTTTAAGTGTGAGTTTTTAACAGGATAACTAAACTAGTGAAACGAACAAAAAACTAAATGCATTTTCAAAGTTGGAAAAATCGAGGAAATCATTCTCCTCTTTCTTCCTGCAAAGCATTTGCAATGAGTGTGTGTGTGGTGTGTGAGTTTATTATAATTCTCGTTTTTTTTGCTTCGCATTATAACAATAATCAATAAAATTTCATGTTTTCTTTGTTTGCAATTACTTGTCTTGTAGTTTGTGTTTTTTCTTACTCCTCTTTTAGTTTTAAATATTTTCAATTAGCAATTTGTTGTTTACAAGTACTAAATATTCTGGTAGGCTATAACTTGAGTTTCATGTGTATATACGGATAGACTCTGGGGACTGAGACTCTTGCTTACTAACCATACATGTTTTTCTCTATATATATTAGCTATAATTGGTGTAATCGAGCCCTAATTTGTGTGCTTTTTTTTAATCGGGGGTTCACTGGTTGCGGTCTCTTACAGTTTAAGTTTCGATTTTGTCTTCGGCAATTTCTCTGGGTGGGTTGCGCAACAATTCTCTATGTATCGATAGATCGATCGGGTCTTGATGATGAGATTATGTGGTGTGTAATGTGTAATGTGTTATGTAATTGTAAGTAATTGCATTCGAGATTTACATGAAATAACTGCTAACATATGAGGCCGCTAAGATGCCCAGCACAGTGAGACAGATCAGTATCATGATCTTCTTTCGTCGGGCTTTACTCTGGTACTTGAGCGCCTTCTTGGTGTCCTGAGTTGCCGTCTGCACATAGTCCATAGCGTGCTCCACATGGTACTCAATGCGATCGATCATCTCGCCCTGCGACTCCACCAGCATGGCCATGTCCATGAACATGTCGTGCAGCTCCTTGATCGATGTCTCCAGCTTCATGATGTCCTGATGGCGGGCCTCGATATCCGCCAGCGTCTGTTTGGCCTGCTGGGTCTCCATGATGATGCCCTGCGTGAACACCGACGAGTTGCCCTCCTCCAGCATCTTCTCCAGCTCATCATCGTTCGTCGGCCTGCCGGTGATCTCCAGCTGACGCTGTATCCTTCCCTTGCAACGCTCCCGATAATCGGTCTGCGTGCGATTATATTCGGTCATCACCTCGACAAATTTCCTCGATAATGTCGAGTGCTGGGTCTTTCGGATTCTCAGATCAGCCGATGACTTATTCTGCTGCTCCTCCTGCTCGATATTCTGCTCGATACCCTTGAGTTTGCCGCGCACCCGGTTGGCATTCTTCTTGATGTCGGCCATCAGATCCTCCAGCTCCTGCTTGGTCTTCTCGTCCGTCTGCGGGGCGGACAGGATGGCCGAGTGCTTCTTCTTCACCTCCTCGACATTGTCCTGCACCTTGTCGATCATGCCGCGGATCTCCTCCACCTGGGCGAAGAAGTCGTCCATGTAGGAATCATGGCCATCCACATTGACGGCCACCTCCGTCTCCTCCTCGTCGTCGGATTGGGCGGCATGGAGGGCGGCTAATCTGTCTTTAGTCATCTTTGTGTCGGGGGTTTATCCTGGTTTATTCAAGGGTTTTCGGGGAATTTGTTAGGGGGAGTTTTTGATAGTTAGTTTGTGGGGGGAATTTCTGTTTGTTAGGGGGTCTATCCTCTGGTTTGGTTTGGTTTTTTTTTTTTTATTGTTTATAGTTTTTATGTGGTTTTTGTTTCGTTGTAGCTGGTTTTCTTTCGGCAAGCTTTACGTAAGCTTTTGTTACGCGGTTTTTGCAGATTGCGTTTTTGCGATTAGCAGTTAAACGTTAAACACGCACACAGACACACATTAACCACACGTGTAACGCGCGCGGAGTTTTCCGTTTTTGCCTTTTTGCAGCTTTGCTTTTTAACTTGTTTGCACGTTTTTCCCACTTTTGCGAGAGACCTCTTATTGATTTTCCGCTTTTGGCTGGCAGCTCTCTCTTTTCGGTTTACTTTTAGTGTATAATTTTAACTAAACTGGCACTTTGGCTGGCGATTTTGGTTAATAATATTATGTTGTTTTTTTGTTTGTGTGTGAGTGGTGTGGTGTTATTTCGCTCACCAAGAGAGAGTGAGTGAGAGACAGAGAGGCAAAGAGAGCGCGTGGTTGCGGGCGGCGGCAGCGACGTCGACTGCGGCAGAGCACCTCTTCAATGCCAGCAGCTAAAAAGCTAAAGCTGCTGCTGAATTACTTTTTTTTTCTTGTTTTCCGTGACTCACTGCTTTTTTTGTTGTTATTAAAAATACAACGTCCATATAATTTTAATCTTTTCTCTTTCGTGTTGTATTTGTTTGTTTCACTTTCGCACGGCACACACACGGCTAACACACACGCACGCACGCTGGGGCGATAAACGATTTTCGGCAGTGGGAGAGGCGGCTACCGAAATTCTCTTAAAATGGGCAAAAAAAATCGATTTCTGCGCAAAGCTCCAATTCTGCCGTCTGCCTTGCTGCTGCTTCTTCGTCGTCGTCGTCTTTCTCTGCTTCTGCTTCAGCTTCTTGTTCGCGGGGGGTGTTACGGTGGGCGTTATTTGTTCTCTCTCCTTCTCCTTTCGCTTGCGTTTTATTTTCGTTTGTTGCGTACGCGTCGTCGGCGGCGATGAGTCAGTGTGTGTGTGTGTGTGTTGGAGAGGGACGCACAACCACCTCTCTCGCTCTCGCACACTGGCAGTCCGGGGTGGCACACGATTTGTTGTTGTCGTTGTCGCCTATTGTTTCACCCGCACATTCTTCGAGTTTTTCGTAAGCAAATGTGTGTTGCAATATTTTTGCTAATATTTTTTTATCACGAAAAACGGCAAATTATTTCGCGATTTTTCCCGGCGGCCGTGAGTTTTTTCTTGTGTTTTCGATGCGAGCCGAAACGAAACGCAGCACCTCGCGCGGGCAAACAATTTTCGAGTATGACCGCAGAGCGACTGTGGCTATTATACCTTCCGGCTCGCGAAAAAACCTCTAAAAATATACTGGATTGGTAACAGAAAATACCACAGCAATTCAACGAGTTAGCGAAGATCATAACCACGTCCGTCAGCAATGTCTGGTTGAAAGTCTTTGATTTCAATTTTAAGTTAACAGCCTATATATACAGAACATATTTCATTCATTATATCTTTTTTTGAGGGATAACAAATTATTGTTATATTCTTACTTTAAGTACTGTATTTTTGTTGAATAAATAGGAGGTAACCATTTTTTCAAGTGTATTATGAGCAAGGACTCCAACCAATTCAGCACTGACAATTGGAAGAGCTCAATTCTCTTGAATCGCGTAGCAATGTTTATGCGGGTGTATTGCCTGTGGAATGTGGGGAGAGTGCGCTGGCGCTGCTCCACTCAGTGTGGTATATTTTATAGTGTGGTATATTACAATTTCAAAACTTGACAGGATATTTCTAACTAAAATATTTTTTTTTATTAAAAAAAAATCATTGTTATTTAAAAAAATTAATTTTTATGTTTTTTTTGTTAGTGTCTTTCTTAATTTTTTTTAAAAAGTTGACCACTAAAACAATGGTCATTTCTTTGCATAATCAATGCTTTTGTTTAGGCCTTTCACTTTTATTTTAATTATCTCAGCTGGCTCATAAAATGTTTTAAACAATTGCAAACGATTTTTGTTTTCTCTTTTGCTCGGCATTTTCGCATTTTCACTTTTTGTGGCAATTACCGCATAAATACTCCGAAACGCCTGATGAAATGTGCTAAAAATGCCGGCACATCGCATCCATTACGTCAGCCCCTACAACAGCAACAACAATCAGCACGGGTTTGTTTGTGGATCCCATTCGGATTGAGAAACGTCATGCGCGAGAATTTTTATGAATGAAACGCAACCGGCACTTTTGTTTAAGCGAATCGCGAGCTGAAAAGGAACTGGCGAATAGGTCGCTATATGCAATAATAAATACGTATATATGCGGCATTTATAAATAAATACAATAATTAAGTAATACACAGGGCTGTGAACCCCTGCGATCAGTGCGAAACGTTGCGCAACACTGGTCATTTGGGGGCAATATTCAAAATTCCCTTCTTTTAAAATGGAATTTTAAATCTATATGAGGATATATAATTTTGTTTAAAATGTAATATTTTTTAAAATCTATTTAATATGCAAAAATATAAGCCTACAAATAAAGCAAAATCTCTTTCACTTTAAATTATAAATAATTACCTAGAAACTGAAGTTTAAAGAACCCTTTAAACTAAGGGCTGAACTAGCTGATTATAAGCTAATACATTAACACTTTAACTTTAAATTATTTTTTAAGACACAAGCTAAATAAACTTTTAAATTAAAATTCTAGGATTGTCAAGTAGGCAAAACTCCCAAGGTATCGCGGCATGGTTTCCCCAATAAAGGCTTAGTAATGGATCTTAAGGACTCACCGGATATTTCGTCTGTAGCACGATTCCGCATATCTCGTCGCCGACGAGGAACTGCTCGCCGAGCATCGCCATGCAGACATTCTCCCAGGCCCGCTCGATCTTGTTCTTTCGCAGCCGTATCACCCATTGGCCGCCCTTGCTGTTCGCCGGGTCCTCCCACATCGGCTTGATGCCCTGCTTGAAGAGGCTGAGCTCCCGGAACGGTTTCAGGGCGGTGGGCCGGATGAGATGCGAGTAGAGCGACCACCACTGCTGCACGCTGGCACACCGACCGACCACGTGCAGCGACTTGCTGTAGTCGGCGGCTGCCCGCTGCGTTCCCTTGCGGGAGAACCAGAGGCAGTATGTGTGCTGCAGCCGGTTCTCGCCGGGACCCACCTCCAGTGGCGGCAGTTTATCCACGTCTATCTCGTTCTCCACATCGCTGTCGTCGCTGTCGACGATGTCTGGCCAGATTTTCCTGAAACGCGCGTGCATGACACACGGGAGAGACGGCTTTTGATTAGTATGTCAAGGGTTAGAAATCAAATTCAAAATAAAGGTTCACCAGTTCACCACAACGCCGCACAGTCACAACTCTCACTCATTCGTTCAGTACCGCTTTAAATTTGCCAATCTACAAAGCAAAAATGAAGCTGACCATCCGCATGCTGGACCAGCGCACCATTAAACTGGAGATGAACGACTCACAGGACGTGCAGGCTCTGAAGCAACGCCTGGGAAGCCTGCCCGAGGTGTCCTTGCCCGTGGAGAGCCTACAGCTCATATACAGTGGCCGGATCATGGAGGATGCAATGCCCCTCAGCGAATATCGCATAGCAGAGGACAAGTTCATCGTGCTGATGGGTAAGAAGAGTGTCCAGGTGAAGCCGCCGGAGGAGCCGGTTCCGCCCACACCGCCTTTAACTGCGGGGCCCAGTGAGACGCGCACAGAGCCGGTGACTCCCTCGGTCTCTCCCGATGAGCAGCGGGTGCACGATCTCATGGCCATGGGCTATGGCGAGCAGGAGGTGCGCTCTGCCCTCCGCGCCAGCTTCAATCATCCGGAACGTGCCATAGAGTATCTGATCACTGGAATTCCTCAAGAGGCCGCAGCGGAACAGAATCTTGGTGCTCCTCCCAGCGGGGAGGCAACTGAAGGACTGCAGCAACTAGTGGCGGATCCTCGCGTCGCCCGGGTGCGTGAAATGATACGTGAGAATCCCGAGCTGCTGCAACTTATCCTGGCCAGACTGGCCGAAACCGATCCGGCTGCCTTCGAAGCCGTTCAGAACCACCAAGAGGAGTTCGCGGCCCTGCTAACAGGTGGTGACAGTGCCAGCAGTGATGACTCCCAGGCGGGAGCCACCGTGCAGGTCTCCCTGACCACCGAAGAGGCTGCCGCCGTGGAGCGACTGGAGGCACTGGGCTTTCAGCGCGTGATGGCCGTGCAGGCTTACCTGGCCTGCGACAAGGACGAGCAGTTGGCCGCCGAGATACTGTTCCGCCAGTCGGAGGAGGAGGATCGGGATGAATAAAGCGAGTGGGCGCACGTAAATGCAGCCAGAACATAACCTAACAATTGGGCTAAATGAAGAAGGTGATGATGTTGGCCCAGTTTTGTTGTTGGCGGAGATGGTGACCGTTCTATGCGGGAGTGGGTGGTGCATGTTGGGTGGCGGTGCGCGTGGGTGGTGGAGGTGCTCCACTTACGACTCGTACTGCTTGCTGGCTACTTTCTCCATGCTCATCCTGGCAATGCTGATCCTGACTGGGTCGCTGCTGCTGCTACAACTGGTGATCCTTGGCTTTGGCTGTTCCTGGTGGCGCTGCTCCGACCGCTGGAAGAAGAACCTGTGGATCCGTGGGGTTGCACTAATAGATTCTAGATGCTGCTGCTTCTTCTGGCGCAATTCTTCTTTTGCTCCTTGGCTGCGCGTGTGTGGTTGTGTTTGTGTGCCGTGTGTGTGCTCGTGTGTTTGTGTGGTTTTGGTGGATTCTCTTGTGGGCGATTTTTTTGGGGCCGCCGCTTCTTGGGGGAGCGGTTCGCTACGGGTCCGCCGCTCTCTCTGGTAAACAATCGTATGTCCTGTGGCTTCTGCTTTTTGGTTTCCAGTGGGTTTGCTTATTCCTCGGCCGTTTCGTTTTGGTTCGCTCGACTTTAGTTTGACGTTTCTTTTTGTACACAACACAACATGCGTCTAAATAGGTTCCACTTGCGGTCCACCTTCCACGCGGCGCTGTCAAAATGAGCCAGTGCTGCAAAAGGAAGCCAAATTCTTTCATTTTCCAACACTGCTGACAGAACATTTAATACCCTAGGACGGAAAGTATATAAATTTATTGTGCTTTAATAACAATTATAATATTAGTAATGATTTATTAATATAATTTTATTTATTTTAGAAAAGTAAAGACTTTTTTTATGTATTAGTACATGGACAACTTTTTTTACAGTTCAATGAAACAAGTATGTATTAAATACACCAATATAGTTTGCTAATAAATTATCAATAAACTTTATCAACAACATATAAAAATTCGTTCAGTAAAAAAGCTCATTAAAAATATTACCGCACAACCACCATTCGATAACACACCCCACATCTTTAAATTATAGGGTATGCGCTTATCGACTTTTTGCTGTCACTCTCCAAAAATCAGTTTGTTTACGTTCGCTTGCAAGCCGCTACAAAATGGGTAAAAGTGAGAAAAAATCAAAGAAAAAGCACAAGGAAAAGCGCAAGGAGCACAAGGAGAAGCACAAGTCGAAGAAATCGAAGAAGCACAGCCGGAAAAAGGAGGAATCCCCTCCGCCAGCCACACCACCACAGAAGCAACCAGAAAATGGCACCGAGGAGGCGGTGAAGGAGGAGGAGGAGGACTTCGCCATACCAATAGGTCCGTAAGAGCCCCCCTTGCACATATATTTAAATATCCAGTTTGTGGTTTGCTGAACACCCTGCCTACTCTGCCACCCCAAAACTCAAGCACTGATGAACAGCAAATCGCATGCACCAGAGACACCGGAGGAGTACCAGCGACGCCAAAGCCAGATCCGCAGGGAGGTGGACCCGGTCACTGGTCGCGTTCGCCTCATCAAGGGCGACAGCGAGGTGCTGGAGGAGATTGTGACCAAGGAGCGCCACACGGAGATTAATAAGAAGGCCACTCGCGGCGACGGGGAGTTCTACGAGGCAAGATCTCTGGACGCCGCCAGGCGACGCAAATAGCTGATAACCAAAAAGCAATAATACTTAATCGATTTTATGTCTTGTAGTAATAATTAATAACTGTCAGTTTAATTAAACAAAGGGCTAGCTAGCGACTATATGTACACGCGAAATCCGTGGAAATTTCTTTGGTGGCGCAGCTAGTACAACTGATGGAAGAAGGTAGTGCTGCCGTCCTGCCAGGCGGGATCATCGCTGACCTTCGCCCTGCACATCGGGCAGGTCTGCTCGCGCTTGAACCAGGTCTGGACGCACTCATCACAGAAGATGTGGCCGCACTCCAGCACAATGGGCGTGTTGAAGGCGTCATGGCAGATTGGACACAGGGCGCCCGCAGCATCCAGCTCGTCTTTGGTCGGCGGTCGCTCAGAGTCCTTAAAAAAATTGATTTTAAGAATGAGCAAACAAAATCTTATAGTCTTGACATTCTTACAATATTTTTCCTGAAGGTCACAATCGCTTTTTTCAGCGACTTGCCGCGCTCCACCAGCTCGAATATCTTGGCACCCAGGTACAGGGCAGAGAACAGTCCTCCGGACACCACCTCCAGACCCGAATAGGACTCGTACAGAAACAGGAACCACTGGGAAATGGGCGTCATTGCTCGATAGAACTGAGAAGTATACTCCACCAACACATAGAGACGAGCCTGGGAAGCGAAAACAATAAATTATCAGGGAATACCAAATCATAGATGTAAGTAATGGATTCATTGATCTTAAGTGACTCAGAGCTGTCTTCATTATAATCTTAAATGGGATTTCCCCCTTATTAAAACTGGGAACAAGCTTTACATATCTATGAGATTTGGGTTTTCCTTAATAAACTTTTTCTTCTATGAAAATGGAGATAAGTAACAAATGATTCATGAACTACGAGAATCAACGTCTAAGTCCATCAATGAAGCTAAAAAAAAACCTAATCTTAGCTCTGTACGGCTTAATCTTAAACTTTTTTTTGTAAGTGCCTTATTATCTTTTTATGCCTTACCAATATATACATTTAGTTTGTATTTTTATCGGGCATCGATCCCTCTAGAAGCATATTACTCACCCGCACTTTGAGTCTCATTAAATGGTGCGGCAGCATGGTTATTAAAATTTTAACCAGCATTGTCAGCAGCTTGATAATGAGATCGCTCACAGCTATGTAGTACAGCAACATGCCCAGGGGAATCACCTTGAGGGCATCGTACGTGTCCTTGGAAATGGAGCCCTTAAGGGTCTCCGATAACGTCGTGGGATTTGTTGTAAACAGTTTGTCCCCCTCGGAGCTCGTTTGATAAGGCAAGAGCTCCACGTTAAAGTAATTCTTGGGCGGCGGCACAATTAGACCGAAGGGATCTGGTCTCGCGGTGGCCAGGAACAGACGCACTGCCACCACCACGGCAATAAGGCAAGCATCCCGCGCCATCACGGCGTAGTTCTTTTGCGCCAGCCGGGCCACCTGGCTGCGCACCGATCGGTTAACATTGTACATCACCGTCTGCAGCACCAAAAGATCCACAATGCCCAGCAGGTGATCGTGTATGAACTTATGAATAGTATGAAGATCAGCGGAAGATAGCGTACAAAATGGCTGAGGATCTGCACCACCATGTCGTCCGAGATGAGGTGTTCGTCTTCTGGTGGACTATCTGGGGCCTCTTGGGGATTGCCTCCTCCTCCTGCTCCACCGCCGTTCTCTCCGTTGCCATCGCCCTCGCCCAGATCCAGGCTATCATTCGGTTCGTGCTCCTCGAAGGGTATTGGATTACTGTTTAGTCCTATGACGCTAGCATTGTGCCGTCCTCCATTGAGGCTGTGATTGTGCCGCATCTCTCCTTCGCGCAGGGAGATGCTTCTGCCCATAACGACAGCTTCACTGGGACCACCTGCTCCTCCAACGCGGCTAAACGCAGGGGACTGACTGGTTCCGGTAGTGAATTCTGCTGCTGGCTGAGCAGTATGTGCGAGTTGTCTACGGGATTGGCGGCTGGCTGAGCTCCTGCAGGTGCTGAGGATGCCGCAGCAGCAGCAGGATATCTGAAGTTGGAATGTGTAATAAAGGAGCGCAGTGCCTCCGTCGAGGGGGCCGTGGACAGGGAGAAGACATCGTTGAGATTGACACGCCAGAAGCCCATTTGCCGTACTCCTGCCGCAGTTCCGGGCGATGCTCCTGGCCCACCGGCTACTCCGGCGCTCGATGGCTCCTCCAGGCTGTTGGCGCCCATGCTGCGTGACTGCTGCAGGCGACGGTTCATCTGCGTCGTCACCCGCACCGGGGAGCTACTATTACTGGCCGGTGTGTAGGATCGCTGTCGGGCCAAAAAGGTGGACAGGATGTTGCTGTGGCGGGCATTGCCTCCGCTCAAGCTGCTGCTCCGCGCCGTGGTATTATAGCCGTGATCCAGGTTGATGCTGGTGTTGGCCGATCCACCGGAGACACCACCTGCTCCTCCGCCAACGCCACCTCTAGAGGTCACCGACGATGAGGAGGTGGGCAGCAGGTAGTCGTGCTCCGCCGTGGTCGAGTCATTGTCGTCACTCTCGATGCTGATGGACACGCCCGCCGATGTACCGCCATCCTGGGGGCCACCGCCGTCCTGTAGGCCACCGCCTCCTCCTCCTCCACGATAGGGATCCTTGGGGCTGTTGTTCATTGTTCCACATCCAATCACCATTGATTGGAGCTGGTCTTTTTTTCACTCAGAACCCCGAAACGTCTCCCCAAAGTTCTTGCATTTTGCATGCGTTGCCAGCTGGTCACACTAAAATTTCGACCAAAAACGAGCCGCGGTAAAGATCCAATTGAAAAATAAGAACTTTGTATTCATAATATTCACAGCTTGTTATAATGGCAACAGAAAATTCATCTCACTCACAGATAAGAAAACCTAATTTATTAAAGTTCGCAGTTAAGAATGTATCTGATGAAAATTATTTTTATTTTGAACATAATCCGTTTATTTTTAAATTTATTAAAGTTTAAAAAACAACCGAGTTTGTATAAATTTTCAACATACGATAAGAAAATGATAAATCGGCCATAATCGCCTACGGTCACACTTTGGGGTGGAACTTGTGTGGAATGTGAATTTGTTTAAGCAATTTCAGTTACTATTTAAATGTATTTTTGCCATAGACGTACTCAGAATTTGGTGAAAGGGGGTCCTTATTTTTGTGTGGGAACTTCGGTGTAAGCCTTTAAATACATTTAGTCAAATACTTGTCATGACAGACATGCGCACCTTTGTGGAATTTAAATTATTCGAAATTAACATTCTTTTACATTTATTTATAACTTTTTATAAAAAATCAAATAAATTATTTTTAATACCGAAGCCAAAGTTACTGCTTGCATTTATGCTACTTTGGACAGAGCATCTTGTCAGCCAGGTTGGCCGAGCGGTCTAAGGCGCCAGATTTAAGCTCTGGTTCTCGTGAGAGAGCGTGGGTTCGAACCCCACACCTGGCAAAGGAGTTTTTTTTGTTTATTATTTTTTTTTTTGTTTTTTTTTAACTTTTTTATATATTTTTGAATAAATATAAATGCCTTTAAAATATTCGTATTCCTTGTTTTTACAAATAACATAAATAAATGTGACTAACACATTGCTTCATTGTTCTTATCTAAATAGTGAACATTTCATTAGACTTATGAATAATGGAAGCTTTATTTTTAGATTAAATAGCTTTTAAAATATTTTTGCAGATTCTCTGTTATTTTTACTTTTCCGACTGGTTTTTCTGTACATATTTGGTTTTATATAAATATTTATTTCTATACTTTTGAGTAATCCTGCTAAAAACCAATTTAAATTAATTTATTTTGAGATACCCAGCTCATTTCGATACGCTTGAATAAAAAAGAATGACGCCTTTCTACCCCATAAATTATGCAAATAATTTTCAAATTTCTTCCTTGGCTTTGCGGTGCAGTGTTGTCCACCCTCATAAATGCACTCCGTTGGCCCATTGATAAGGATAATGGAAATGGCTCAGTTACCGCCAACCAACCGCAATTAAGCTGACCCAAAGCCGTTGCCTGGTTACCCGAGGCGTCCACAACAACCAGCCGGGTTCAGGACGAGGAAACGTGGCCAAAACCACCACCTTCGGCAGTTCAGGCACCACCGAAGGACCAAGGACAAACCCTTGCAACCCGTCAGGTCAGTTGAGTTTGTCCATGTAAACAAAGAACAACTGGAAAGTGACTAAACGTAGAAAATTCAGCCAGATGCAGCTTAAAAATGCTATACTAAGCTAAATGGGTAAATAAAATATTACCATAAAGGAAAAACAGTATAAAAACAATTACTAGAAAGTGTATACAAGTATCAAATTGAATATATCCATATGTGAAGTATATAAACAATAAAATAAGGTTTAAAATAGATTTTCTATATCTCAAAGTGTGAAGTAGTAAGAAGTATCAGTGATATCATCTTGTTATGACAGTTTAAGGAACAAAAAATATGGTTTATAATATTATATCCTAGAACAAACTGCTACCAATCTATTGCGTTTTTAAAACCCAAAACAAAGAAGTGCGCCGCAAGTGCTGAAAAACAAACCCGCACGAATACAAAAAATTAAGTCAAATGGGCAATTAAAATATAAATATTATTTATTATACAGTATAGTATAGTATATGGTATAGTATAGTGCATGTGCATATGGTGTGTGTGTGTGTGTGTGTGCGGTACATGTTTTTTTAACGTGCCTAATCTTCTTAGATGGATGTTGAACCCCATTGGCGTAAACAAAAAAAAAGAAATAGTATAGAATGCAAAAATATATGCTATATAGATTTCTATATATTCCATTATTGATCAGTCTGTGTAATCTCTCTCGTTGGCGGAACGCCTGATGCTGAAAGCTAAAAGCTGAGATGCTGATGCTGAGATGTTGATGCAGTGGCTCCAGCTCCAGATCCTCCGTTCAATGAACCGGCACCGTGATGCGGGGCGATAAACTTTTGGTCGTCGTGCTGCGATTCCTACGCTGCAAAAACAGCTTAACATTCTCGAGGGGCAGCTGGAAATGATAGTAGCGCAATAGGGCAGTGGATCCCAGTAGGCGAAAAGGGCCTCCCTCTTGTCCAGCGCCGTGGTCGAGGTGCTCTTCTCCAGCGCCGACCAGCTCCAGTTGGGCAGCTCGTCCTCCGGCAGCCCCCGCCTGTGGATGCACTTCATCGCCCGGCATAAAGCTGGGCATGTGACCTATTGTGGCATATATAGGCAGGGCCACGCCCAGTCGTGTGCCCAGGGGCACGAACTGACCCCCATGGGCTGGGCTCTTGACCAGCCGGAAGCTATGTGTCCATTAATGGGCCTCTGGAAGCGCACCTTGGCGAAAAAGGCGCGGAGCCATAGCTCTATCTGGGCTTCATCATCTCGTGGCACTGGGATCAGGTTCTTGGTGTGATGCTCCACCCGACAACTTACATTGGCCACCACCCTCGAATCCTTGACGGTGGTGCAGGTCACGTAGTGATGATAGCCCGGCTGATCCCGCACCACCAACCAGGGTTGCCTCTCGCTGATCTCATGCTGGTTCAGTTTCAGTTCCGCCTCCTATTGGGCAATATGTACTTGTGCCGCTCCAGAACTCCTTGCATTCCAGCGCCATTAGAATGTTGCGATAACTGCCCACAAACCACTCTCGTATATCTGCTGGAGTTGCCTTGGAGCAGTCAGGACCACATGTGCCGGCAGAGCCATCTGTTGCTGTTCGCATCGCTGGAAGAGCTGCAGGCAGTCATCCAGCTGGAGGGTCTCCTGCACGCCCGGATGAAGCTGGCACAGCCCAGGACCTCCAGATGCGGGCGGCCAGGGAATCATAGTAAGCCGGACTGGTGGCACAAACGGGTATATAGACCGAGGGTCGCTCCTTTTTCACTATGTGACACAGGGCGGCTATGTACTGATCCGGATTGCTGGATGTTGGGCGTGGAACCACATAGAACTTATCCACTGCCGTGGAAACCTGGCCAGTCCAAACATCCCTCGAACTCAAAGACCACCACTCGGGCACCTGATCCATAGAAATTCCTGGCCAAATGAAGGGTCTGTATGGTGCTGCCGCAACTCAAAGAATGGTCTTCTGTCGCTGCACTGAACCCAGTTCCTCCTCGCCACTAGCAACCATTTGACCAGGGCAATGGGACCCTCAGAGTTTCCAAAAGATCCAGAGCAAGGCTGAAAGCCAAAAGCTAGGTGCCGCTATGGAGAGGGGATGTAGAGCACATATCTCAGGATGGTCAGGACCAGTCTCATCAGCAACTGGGGGCCAAAGAGCAGGACTCGAGTGCCAAAATGGGGTTGTGGAGGCGTCTGTGTCTGGAACTGGCTCCTCAGTAGACTGCCATCCGCAGTTCCTGGCGTCTTAGGGTGACGAAATGTTTATGTGGCTCTGCGCCTCCTTGTCCTCCTCCTCCTCCGACTGACTGGGATGCTCTGGATCAGATCCAGCGAGTTGATCCGCCGGAACTTGGAGCGCGTGGCCTGACGCAGTTGACGGGCGTGCTCCTGGCGCAACAGCAGATCGTCCAGGGTCTGGGACATCTTCATCTCTCGCACTCGCGTCGCGAATTCCGTATTTCAATATTATATTATCTCCGTATTCCGTATAATCTTCGATTATCGCTGCCGTGCTGCTGCTGGCAAAATCCGAACTCTGACTAAAGCGCGTTTTAAATAGGAGCTATACTTTAAACCTATGGGATGCAGTCGCGACCAGCGTTGATAACCCAACCCAGACACATGTCCATCGATTGGCATCCGAACTCGAGTCCCAGTACCTATGCACTGCTAGAAAACTTCGCCAAACTAATCGCCAAGTGTCTGAATTATGCCTGATATGTGGCGCTATGATTAGTTCTGATAATTCTTTATCGCACTGCTGATTAGTTAATTGCACTACTTTTATTGACACTCGAAATAGACTTTGGCGATAAGTATTTCTTTAAGAAATTATAAATAACACTATCAGGTCAGACAAACCTTAAAGTTTAAAGTACAGCCGTATTTCCAAATAGTGACCTTAAGTTCGATGACTTGCATTTATTCGGTAGGTCAGTAACTTTTTTGTCTATGCTGGGGGTCTTATCAAAAATACTTTTCTAGTTGCCATGCTAGAGTATAAAAGCAAGTATAAAATAAAAGTTATAAAAACAAATTAAAAGTTATAATTGGATTTAATTTGAAGTATAAGGGGTTCAGAATATGTATTTAGAACTTCAAAAAACAATGTACTCAATCTTCAATCTAAATGATTTTTTTATTGATTACTTATTATATTTGTTCTATACCATATAGTTCAATGAAATTGATAGGTTTCTTAAGATTCTATAACGAATCCAGATAAGCTAGGTTCATGAGCTTATAAAATTTCGCTGATGTAATATGATGATGAAAGTCTCTCAGTGTATGAGTAATTAGCTACCGCCATATAAACCTATGTGGATGATCAGCCGAACAGTGTGTGTGAACGTGATGATCATTGTCGCCGACTCTCGGGATGATCCGCTCTCCCCGTATGTCGGTGATCTTTGACGATAGAGTATAAATCATGGCCAAAGATTGAAGGTTCCATCCAAGTGGCGCCCGTTGTCAAGAGAGAAGGCGGAGAATCGGGGAAATCTTCCGCCGAACCGAAGATCTTTATAGTTCGGGAAAGCTCCGATCGCATGCAATGCAGGTCCCCGGGCAGATCCAGATTTGTGGCCATGGGGACTTTGGTCGGGCACACACACTCGCAAGGTATTCAATCCCATTTCTGGTGATAAGGGGCTCTACTCTGAACCCGATAGGGGCTATAGAGCCCCTGGAAAGAAAAAACGCGGCAGGCAAACTTATGCTTTGAAATAATCTCACACCTACACACAGTATAGATCTTATGGCATCGGGCCGAGATTAAGACTGAAAACTGAAAGTGAAGCAAACAAACACCTTAATGGCGAATGCATAACCAATATTCGGACTTTGAGAGTCTACTCAGCACACTTAGTTGTCGCGAGTCTGACTTTTATTTCCAAATCTCTACACGAGTTTATTGGAAATAATAGAATAATACAGTGTACCTGGAACTTTGATATCGCCCCAAGGTCGCTTTTCAGGTTCAAAACGGTAGCTGATAAGGGTATTTCAATTTGAATATATTTAAATACAGCGCTCGAACTTTTTTCTGTCACTTTTTCGTAGTCGTTGAGCCATGGAAATAGCTGTCTCACCTATGTACCGACTATTTATTTATATGGCGTTGCTTTGTTGGTTGCATGAGTATGCAGTTCTCTGATATGAACGATGGCGATAACCCAGGAGTCCTCCATCGCAATAGTATTCGCAACCTGTGCCAGGAAACATTTTGACATTTGCTTTTAGAGAAGTATTATAAACGATCGGGGCATTACGTGGCTGTAGATAGTGCAAAAAAGATTTGCACATATTGGGATTGCAAAGTCGGAGAAAAAGAGAGGTGTTAAGATAGAACATCATTATAAGATGGGATATAATTTCCTTGTTCCAAGAAAGCGTGGGCTAAAAGGTATTCCCATACCTTTTTAGAAGAAACATTTTTTGATAAAATTCGACTTATTTGGTCTGTCAAAAGTTTAGCATAATAACCGTATCCAAGGGTTCTATATGCTATTCATAGAAACTCATTTATATTCACCGCAAATAAATCAAGAAAAGGGTTAATCGCATCGACAGAGTCTCCTGTACATTCTCAATTTATGGCCCCGCTAGTTGACTTATTAAAAGCAGTTAGGCATGAAGCATGTGACCAGGAGAAGAGTCACCCACCACCACCAACGGGTGTACTACTCCTTGTGGGGTATATGTACCTATAGCTATACCTATACCCCATCGATATCGCCCGATTTGACCGACCGCATTCGGAATATGCTTCGAGACACGATTTGCATTTGTTGCTCGCTCACACGCCAAACATAATTGTGAGCTCCTCCTTCCGTAATCAATTGTGGTTGCCGATGGTAACCAGGAATTTGTTAATTCAATGTTTATTCTGCCCCAGTCCTATGCACCCAGTGGAAGTTGCAGTCCCCAGACGGAATAGACCTTAATGGCGGTTAGTTCGAAAAGGGAATCCTTTCTTCCTCCTTGCGAAAAGTTGGCTGGGCCTCAGTTGGCTTAGTTCCGCGGGCCCAGACAGTTCGATTCCTAGGATTCTGGCCAGTTAGTTAGGCCCCCTATCCCGATTAACTTTCCCTCCCGAGGAGCGTTAGTTGCGTTAGTACTTCCGCATTCCGCAAATTTGTGTCAATTGCCACCAGGCAGGGCACGCTAGGAGGCCCGAGCCCCAGGATTCCGTGATAACTTGATGAGTATTCAATTGGAGCTCAATCAGTTAACAACAGTGTCTAGTGCGCGGTCTTAATTTGGACGAAAAAATAAAGCGAAACAAAGAAGGGTGCCTGAAAACCCAACTAAGGGATTTAAGTGGTTATATATATCAGCTGTATTATTGCCAGTGAGAAGTAAGTTGCAAATTGATGTCGAAGCTTAAAGATTTGGTAAAAAACATATATAAAATCAAAATATACCGACATATTATCCGACATTTGGAACTAATACATCTTTAAATCCAAATTAATTCATATAAAAAAATTCTTATAGGATTATTATATCACATATAATGATTTTCGATGGTTTCTGTTTTTCTAATATTCATTTAAGTCCTTTAAATATGGGAGCTAATAAGAAAATATAACTAAGATGCTATGATTTCGTAAGAAACATAAAATAATATGTTCCTAAGTGAAACTAAATGAAATAAAATACATACTTACATTGTAAGGTTTAGTTACAAACAAGATTTTTTACAATTATAGAAGTATTTTTCTTTGGTATCATATAAAATGGCTTTCTCTTCCTGGCGAGGTCATCTTTAGCTCAGTTTACCCAATGATTGATTCTCAATTTAACTACCTATCCCCCTACTCTCCTCATAAACAACAATTACGACCTCCATTTGATGAGCCCTCGGAGATAGTAAATCAGGAACAAAATAGAAAGTACAAGCGACTAGGAGTAGATGGCATGACAAATCATAGTCGCACTATCAAGGATATTACTATTATATTTTTATGGTTTGCATAAACACAAATGGGAATGGGGGCTGGAGGGATTGGGTGGATGGGGTGGCTAGCATAAGGAGCTCAAAATTAGAAGACGCATTCGTGTCAAAGGAAGTTTCAACAACGGCGGAAATGTTGTTTATTAAAATAAATACGAGGACAAGGAAATTATTATGACTTTGGGGGGGAGTTGGAAGTCGGTAGTTTGGGACTGGGATTGGAGGAGTTGGAGGAGCATGGGGGTGGTAAACACAAACACTTGCTGTCCTGGTGACAGACTGTGCAATGCGTGTCGACCGGGGCCCAAAAACAATTTCCTCAAGTGGGCCCCCAAAAAATATCATTCGAAAGTATGGACGTTACGGAAAGAATTCCTTCCATACCGGACCGATACGATAATGAACAGGGGGCTCTGAACTTGTTTATTTGCGAGGGAACATCACCTCGGTGCAGCTGTCATGACGACTGACTCCAGGCCCGGAACAAGTTAATAAATCAATTTGGACTAACTTATCGAGTCGCTCTGGAGCGTAGGCGAGGCGCCAAACTTTTGGCCAGAAAGTTTCCGCTTCAAATAGCTTACACCCCTTTATTGTTTATCAAAGGGTTCACTGATTTATAGGGATGTATGATAGAGAATCCATTGCTTATAGCTAAGATCAAGATATAAGGTCATACAAAAAAAGTCTTTAAAATGATGGTGTATTTAACTAATGTATTTAAATACTGTTTTTTTTTAGATTATAATCCAAAGGTACAGGGAGGACCACAGTTACTTATAGTTTAGTCTAAGACATCTTAAACATCTTTATCATTTTTAGAGGATTTTGTTTTTTATCCTGAAATGTGGTATATATATATCAGAATATAAATAAGCAAATAAGTTGTATTTTCTTTAGAGGGGTAATATTAAAAGGCTATTAGCATATTTTTAGGTAATCCCTTTCATAAAAAGCAAATTCTTAAAATATATTATAAAAATTTTGGTATTTTAAAATATGATAATTTAAATATAAGAATAACTTTTAAAATAAACACTAAATTTCCATCTAGGGTATCACTAAGTTCTTATACGAAACTTCCAAATTTTTTGTGATTTCTTGCTGTTGCACGCAATGCCAACCGCAACACAGAAACTTCATCAGAGGAATCGAACCGAACTAACCCCCTTTCACCCAACTTCACCCACAGATGCAGGCGTATCGCGATAACTTCAAGCAAACGCCCTGCCCATCGGCCGTCGACCTTCAGGCGGCGGGACCAGCCCACCCACCGGTCGACCGCCTCTCGGCTGCCTTTTTCGCGCAGTCAGCGTGGGCGTGACCCCTCGGTCAGTGCCGCCTCCGTTTCCGCCTCCGCCGCTGGCGCCCTAACGCCCAGGATGATGAGCCCGGGTCCGCCAGGTGGAGCAGGCGGCGGGGGAGATCCCTCGCCCTGCTGCGCCAGAACCAGGAGCTGCGCCAACGGCTGGCCGACGAGTCGCATAGCTATCGACGCCGCCTGGACACCTACAAGCAGGCGCAGCACAACCAGGCCAACCTGGTCAGCCGGCTGCAGTCGAAGATCCAGCAGTATCGCCAGCGGTGCAGCGATCTGGAGGACCGCATGCACGAGACCATCAAGCCCACGGCGGGCACGGGACCCAAGTTGACCACGGGTCCAACCACCAGTCAGGTGATGGTGAGTACGGGACAATTTTTATGGCTATTTTTCTGGGGAATTTTTTTCATAATTATTTGAAATAGATTAAAATATAATACACTTTAAACAATTTTATTTAAACCTTAATTTTTAATTTTGAAATTAAATGATTGATATTGAAGTAGAAATTCATCAAATTATTCGAACTGAATTTGGAAAATATTTAGTAAATATAAAATGTTATTAGGAAATATCTACGTTTAAGCAAATTTACTTATTAAATTTCTGAGATACAGCTCGAATACTTTCTAAATGTATAAACATTTTCCATTTAAATAAACGCTTTGTCAATAGTAGCGGTAACGTTGCGTATGAGTAATACATTTTTTTCAGTTTAATCTATTCAAGCTTTTTCTATTAATCATATTTTGGGGTTCAGAGGCTAATGTGATTGCAATTGTCATTAAAATTGGAATATATAATGTTGCTACGGGTAAACATTTAAAATCAAATTAAAATCATTTTCAGGGGTACTATAGCTCATCCGTAATATATAGGTTTTAATGGCCACCTTGTTTTTTAGTGCTCCACTTCCCTGACCCTGGGCCAGAGCAGTTTGCCCTGCAGCTCCTCGCTGGACTCACCACCGCCCAGCTGCAGTCGCGATTATGTCCACGACGATGTCCTGGTCACCGGCGGAGGCGGCGGAGCAGCTGACTTATGCCGCAAACTGGAGGAGGAGCACCAGCGATGCGAGCAGATCCTGGCCCAGAACAGTGCCCTTCGCCAGCAGCTGGAGGAGTCGAATCGCACCAACGAGGCGCTGACCAACGACCTGCAGAAGCTGACCAACGATTGGGCGGCCTGCGGATGAGCTGCTGATCAAGGAGGACGAGTTTAAGGAGGAGGAGCAGGCCTTCAAGGACTACTACAACAGCGAGCACAACCGCCTGCTGAAGATGTGGCGAGAGGTGGTGGCCGTCAAGAGATCCTTCAAGGAAATGCAGACGGCCATGAAGGCGGAGGTGGCCAAGATGGGTCAGGAGATCAACTGTGTGGGCAAGGACATCAGTGGTTCCAATGCCACGGTGGCCTTTGCCCACCAGCAGGCCAAACGGGCGGCGGATGAGGAACTGAAGCAATCCCAACGCAGCAATGATGAACTGCAGAACCAATTGGCTACCCTTAAAGTTCAATACGAGAGTGCCCGCCACGAGATCATGGAACGGGATCAGCGACTCCTAGAGCTGATGAATCAGCTGAAGAAGCTGGAGGATCGCTGTGGCCAGGCGGAATCGCAGGCTGCTCTGGCCAGTCGCTATAGCGACGAGATAGAGCGACTCAATAATTCCATGCGCGAAATTGCGCAGGCCGTCGTTCAAGATGCTGAGATCGCAGATCGCGAGGCAGACGCCGAGGTCACCGGCGGGGTCATGCAGCACATGCACCTGACGCGTGACGCCGCCTCCGTGGCTGGTGGTGGAGCAGGGGGTGGTGGTGCGGGCAGCACCACTGGTGGTGGGAAATCCCCCCGTCGGAACTCAACACGCGCCTCCCAAGCCTTCGCCGAGGGCACCATCTCAGCCGTCCAGGCGGCACTCCACAAATACCAACTGGCCCTCCATGATATGCAGGTTAAATTCCAGAATACCAGCGAAACCCTGCGCACCACCAAGACCCAATTGGAGACCAGCGAGGGTACCAAACAGCTGCTCACCACCAAGATGCAGCAGCTCACCGAGAAGCTGGACAGCAGCAACTCCAAGCTGTCGGAGCTCCTGCAGGAGAGGGAGAGTCTGCAGCGCGGTCTGGACGATGTCCGCACCCAGAAGCAGCAGTCCGAGATGGGCAGAGCCGATATCAATAGTGCGGTAAGTTGTACACTGTTCGTGCTGGCAGAGCGGCGGCAGAGAAAATGTGAATCCCACGGGCAGTCCGCGCTTTGCTGCTGTTGACCACTGATTTTAGAAATACTGGGCTATAGAGTTGGTTTATAAAAGGGAAAGTCCTGATAATAAAATTCTAATTTCTGTTTATAATAGAAGTAGTCTTCACAAAAGATTTGCCTTGACTTACAATTTATATATGCTCCACAAATTAGCTAGGGTTTGTGTAAAAATCATGTAATGTATAAGAATTTCTTCGAATTTCAGGACTGGGAAATCTTATAGAATTTTTAATTAACAATTAATGATTAAAGCGTCTGGTTTTTTTCCAAGTGTGGATGTCAAGGCAGATTGGGGGCGGATCGGTGATAACTCGATTAGTCTCTGTCTGTGTCTGATTACGCAGTAGATTGTATATTTATGATGATCCCAGCTCAAATCCGGGGTGAAGAGCCATGTCTGCGATGAGTTACAAATTATGGCGGCGAAGATTGCATTTGCAGCCGGCGTGAGTAGAAATGGCAAGGGGCTAAGTTCATCAGCACCGGGATCTCGTATCTCTAAATGGGTTGGACGGGATCCAGATAATACTAGAGGGATACAGTATTTTCCATACAAAAATGGCGTTTATATTATGAAATATGGAATAACACTTTGTTTTAAAGCTGAAACCACATTATAATACTTTCTTTTAGTTTGAGAACCTGAGCGGTGACTATGAGAAGCTTCAGCTGAACTATGGAAAACTGCAGAAGCGCATCGATTCCATGGAGGAGGACAAAAAGGCCGTTGAGCTGGAAATCCAACGCATTCTAAAGGACAAGAATATCACCGAGTTGAATTTGAGGTAAAGTTAAGATAACCCATATAAAAGAGATTATAAACCCTGAACAACCAACAGATCCGAGGAAGATCGCAGCAGTCGGCTGAGGGAGGAGACCATCTCCCTCGCGAGGAGCTCAACCGGGTGAGCCTGAATCGTGATCTTCTAGAGCAGCAGCGCATCGAGTCGGATAACCTGATCAATCTGCTGAAAAGCAGAAATCCGATCTGGAGTATGACCTGGACAAGCTGCTGTTGGAGAAGTGTGATCTGCAGGAAAACACGAGAAGCTATCGAACAACAGTTGCTCCACCACCGATGAACTGAAAACGGTTCAAATTGCCTCCAGGAGACGCAGGAGGAGCGCAAGAAGCTCCGAATCCAGTCCGCGATCAGGCCAATGAAATTGGTGAGCTCAAGAAGGAACTGGCGGTGCTGGACAAGGCGCGACTCGAACTGGAGACGGACAATCTGTCCGCCGGCGAGAAGCTCAATGCCTGCAGCTGGAGAAGGAGAAGATCCTGCAGGATTTGGCCTGTGTCACCCGGGATCGTGGTGATATCCACAACCAGCTGACGGCCATGTGTCGAAAAAGGAGGCTTGAATGAGGAACTGATGCGGACTCGCCAGCGTTGGAGCAGACCACCGAGACCAATAGTCGCCTGAATAGAAATCTGGAGGAGATGGTGAAGGATGTGGAGGAGAAGCAGGTGGTCATCGATTTGCACGAGAAGGACACCCATCGCTTAAATGAACTCCTGGCTGCCCTGCGCTCGGAGAAGGAGTCCCTGGAATCGGTGCTTTCGACACAATACCTCACTGGAGGCCACGAGGAGCGACGCAGCCAGCTGGACGGGATCTACAGGAGGCTTTGGTAAGGGAAGAGTCCCTAAAGAATCATGTGGCTCGTCTGCAGAAAGATCTGGAGCAATGCCAGCGCAAGGCCCAGGAGACCAAGACGCAGTTGCTCAATGCGCCCGTGCGGCCGAGAGTGATTTCAACCAGAAGATTGCCAATCTTCAAGCTTGTGCAGAGGATGCGGCCAAACGACATGGCGAGGAAATCCTCAGTTAAGGAAGCCCTGGAAAAGCGGATGCAGCAGGCCCTGCAAGCCCTGCAAACGGCCAAGGATGATGAGATCGAGAAGTTGCAGGAGCGATTGGCCACTCTGCAGGCCCACCTCGAGAGTCTTGTCCAGCAGCACGAGGAGGCACTGATCCGTGCGGAAAGCGAGAAGCAGCAGGCCCTTTTGATTGCCCACCGGGACAAACAGGCGTGGCCGAGCGGTTGGAGGCTGTGTCCCGGGATCTCAAGACCGAACAGGAGTCCCTCGATCGCAGTAGAAGAGAGGCCAATGCTCGGGATGAGAAGCAACGGGCGGTAATCGCTCAACTCAAGGACGAGATGGTGCACATGCGCACCAAAGAGGAGGAGCATAAGTAAGTGGTATTCTAATTTGTATTCCTCTGAAGAATTCGCGTGTTTTACTTTCTTCCGTTGGGCATCTAAAAACAAAGAATAAACAAAAATTCTAAATTAAAACTTGATTCAGTTATTAATTAAATATTAATCTCCCATAGGATTAAGCTGGAGGAGTGCATCCGCAAGCAGGAGCTGCAATTGAATAGCATTCGGGAGGAGCGGGACACCTTGTGCCGTGTGAGCGAGGAGCTTAAGATGGAGATTCGCCTCAAGGAGGACAAAATGGAGGGCACCAATAACGAGCTGCAGGATGCACTGCGCAAGTCCAAGGAGGGTGAGTACAGAGGCAGAACTAATCTTCGCTAGAAAATCTCTACAATCCCTGCTCCAGGTGAAGGATTCATTGATAGTCTACGCAAGGAGTTGACCGACTGTCGCCGACAACTGGCGGACAGCAACATTGAGCGGGACAAGTATTCCGGCAGCAACAAGGAGCTGCGCGACCATGTGAAGCGCGTGGAGAGCGCCAAGCGGAGCAGGCACGTGCCATCGAGGAGGCTCTTCAGAAGATTAGAATCTGGAGGACACCAAAACTCTTTGGAGAACGAACGCACCAGATTGAGTACCATCCTGAAGGAGACGGAAATCACTTTACGAAAACACCCAGGATCTGAATGCCACTAAGGCGCAGCTGCAGAAGGCCCAAGTGGAGTTTGCCCAGAAGGATGAGGTGGCAAGGAGCTGCAGTGCAAGCTGGTGGCCGAAGTGGAGCTTAAGGAGCGGGCTCAGCAGGAGCTCTGCCAGATCAAGAAGCAGTTGTCCGACTTGGAGGCCAATCTGTGCGCCACTCGCCAGGAATTGGGCAGGGCTAGGTGTCAGAACAACCAGGAGGAGCATCGATTCCATGCCAGGGAACAGGAGTTGGCCCAGCGCCTGGAGGAGGGTCGAGGCAGGGAGAAGCGACTGGAGGATCAGAAGCATAACCTAGAGGTTGCCTGGCGGATGCCACCCAGCAGATTCAGAGTTGAAGGCCGCTTGGGCGGAGCCGAGGTCGTATTCGAGCTTGGATGAGCATTATCCTGCGTGGAGCTGCACAAGCGGGACACCGAACAGAAGCTCTCCTCAGTGGTCCATACGCTGCGCAGAATTGCAGGCATCCAAGTGGATGGCAGTGTGAATCTCTCACATCGCTTGCTCAGTCCCTCGAGGAGATTCAGTCCATCTCGCAGCTGCGGGGATTATGACAACAGGAGCACTTCGCAGTGTCCTGATGGACCCATTGATGTGGACCAGATCTGGTGCGAAAGGGTGTCCGTAATCTGATGCACCAGTGGCTCAGTTGGAACGCGAGAAGGATGACTACAAATCCCAGCTGGGAGCGGCCAAGAAACAGCTCCAAGATGCCGCCGACCAGCAACTGAAATGCGATGCCAAGCTGGGCAAACTGCAGGCCATGTTGAGGAATCTGCAGGAGGAGAAGAGCAACCTGGAAACAGATCGTAAGATGAAGATCTCCGCCATTCATGCGCTGGAGGAGAAGCTCAAGCACCGCAACGATGAGTGTCAGATGCTGAGGGAACGTTTGGCCCAAACGGAGATGCAACTGGCTGCCACATCCGAGGAGAATGGCCAGAACGAGGAACGCCTGGAGAAGAGTCGACAGCAGTGCGCCAAGTTGGACAACGAGAAGCGTCAGCTGCAGGAGGAATTGGCCAAGGTTGAGGGCAGGGCCAGCAAACTGGATCTCCAGCGTGTGCCATGGAGGGCGATCTCACCAGGTTGCAAATGGCCCTGCAGGAGAAGGACTGCAGCATCCGTCAAATGGCCGAACGCCTGGAGAACCAAAATCGCGCCATGACCCAACTGGAGGATCGTTGCACAGCCCTCAAGTCCACTGTGGATCAGCTGAAGGAACGCCTCCAAAAGTCCGCCGTCACCGAAACCCAGCTGAGGGGCGAGCTGAAGACCCTTCAGAAGGAGCTCTCGAGCAGGGCCACTGCTCCCAGGCCAATGAGGACAAGCTAAACTGGTCCAGAATCCCTGCAGACCGCCGAAACGAGAAGCGCATACTCACCGAACGCCTGGACAGCGCCCAGACCAATCTCAACGAGCTGCGTCGCAGCCAACAGGCTCAACTGGATGGGAATCAGCGGCTACAGGAGCAGGTCACCGATCTGGAGGTTCAGCGCTCGGCTCTGGAATCGCAGCTCCGCATCGCCAAGTGGAACCAAGAGAGCGGCGGTGACAAGGGGTGACCAACGGCAATGGAGGCAGCAATGGCGAGGATGAGCTCAGCAGGCAGCTAAAGTCTTCCCAGCGGGAGAAATCGGAGCTGCGCAGTAAACTGCAGACCCTACAGGTGGGTAAAAATAATAGTTAAGAAATGTACACACAAAAACATCTTATCATTAAAGCCACCTATTGCAACAGTGCGTATGAGTGATAAATTATAAAATAGACATTAAGTATACGCAGTGTTGCCTGCCTGTTATAATCTTTCTCCATAGTTATTCTATTTTTAATCTGCCTACCTTTTATTGCTCAGGACAAAGTCAAGCAGTTGGAGTGCGAACGGAAAAGCAAGTTCTCCGGCGGAAACGCCTACGATCGGGCCGAGAAGTCCAACTCCTATTACGGTGGGGCTAATGATTCCGGGGAGTTTGATTCCAATCGCTACGATGTGGCGGAGGTAATGCCGGAACTGGAGGAGGAGGAGTAGGAGGCTCCTTTAACTGCGGATTGGATCACAGTGTGATCGAGCAGGAGACCCGCGATCTGCGACTCAAGGTGCGTCGCCTGGAGACGCTGCTGGCGGAGAAGGAGTCCGAGTTGGCGCGTTGCAAGGCGCGAATGAACGACAGCGCAAGTGCACTGATGGTTTGGACGGGGATCGCTATCGCAGTGCCCAGATGCACGCCGAGAAGCTGCTCGACGCCAGAGAACAGTCCCACAGGCAGCAAGTTCTGCGCCTGGAGAATCAGGTGGGTTCTCTTACGTATTATGATGTAGATCAATAATAAGAAATTATATTCTTTAGATATCCATGCTGCGCGAGCAATTGGCTCAGGAGGCCAAACGGAGACAACAGTATATTCTACGCAGCTCAAAGGCGAATCGGGAAATGCAGCACTTGAGAGCACCCTTGGGATTCCCTACGCAATGTGTCCCAGCACCCGGTGATGCTCATCTCCTGGAAAGCGAGAGCAGACGGTAAGTCCAATATGCTTAAATATTTTTAAAAATGTATGAACATACCCTTTTCCAGTCTCGATTCCGCCGTTTCGATGAGCCTGCCTCCCTCGACCTGCCGGGACTATGATCGCGACTAGAGCTATGTGGAGTTAAGATTTGGTTAAACTTTATCCCGCCAAGAAGACGTAACGCTCACTGCCATATGCATTTATTTAGAAAAGGCTTCCTGGACTGCTCCAATCGCATCTGAGTTATCATCGCGTGCATTTCAACTCGTTTGCCTTAGTACATTCTAGCTGTTCATTGTCTGCCCTGTTAGACAATCGAATATAGTGCGTTCCATCCAGTCACATTCGGGCATCCGGTAGCGATGATGCATCATTCATCTCCACAAAAATAACTATGCATTAAAGGGTCACGAGTTCCGATTCTCCCTGAGCGAGGGAGAACACCGAACCATATCTAACACGACAATTTACATCATTTGCATTTACATATTGGCCAGAACACTGAACTAGTCAGCACGAAACAAAGCAACTATATTTAATCCTTAGCATATCTAAACCTACATACAGTGCGGTTCGACGACTGCATGTTTTATAAAATATATATACAAGAGAAACACATTCTAATGAACACAACTACCGACGAGCTCTTACTTCTTGGTGGGTTTAAGCATCTTTTCCAGGCACTGCACTACCAACTTCATGTTAGCCTTTTGGGACGACAACTTGGCCACTTCGCCCACGATAGCGAACAAAGCTTTGGCCTTCCCCTTTTGGTATTGCTGCACAGCCTTGGGCTGGTTGGTGATGGCCTGCTGGCAGAGAATCTCGATCTCCTCTGGGCTGCAGATCTGCTGCAAGTTGTGCAGTACGATGAGCTGAGATGAAAATGTGAATTAAGTAAGTATTCTAAATATAATGTGCTTAAATTTACTTACCTCACTGCTTTTGGCTTCGGGGTTATTGTGCAGCAGTTCAATTAGCTGTCGTGCTGCCTGAAGATTAATCTGCTCGGTGTGAAGGCTTTGTAAAATATCCTTTAAATCATCAGCCTTAATGGAGCTACACAAGAATAGAAAATTAATTAAATAATGCTTCAATTATATTGAACCGGGGTATATTACCAATCTTCCACATCCAAGTTTAATTATTGCAGTAGGTCAGAAATCGTTAATAAGGAAATTGTAAATTACTTTCTTTGGCAGTTCAGTTAAACTACGACTAATGCTCGTAAAATGATCCAACAGAATTGGTTCGTTCTGGAATAAATCGGAGTGTTTTTAAAAGCGAAATAAAATACTAATATAAATACCCACCACTAAAATGATGGCAGTTTCTGCATTAAGGTTGTACTGCTCCATCAGACGTTGCCTGGTGTCCTCTGGTAATTCGGGAATTTCCTCGCTCAGCGCTGCCACAGAAAGCAGATCCTCTGTTGACTTCGATCCCGGCCTGAGGTTCACATGAAGAGGTGGAAATTTGGCTCCGGCATGAACCTGTAATCCTGCAGCACCTCCTTGTCACGCATGGCAACTGTTCGCCGGTTTTCTGCATCCCAGTTGCGAGTCTCATTTGTGATCACGCCACCATTGGCCACAGTTTCCAATTGTCTGTTTATTTCATATGTAATTGCCTGTGAAATGCTGCGAACTGAGCCAATATTTTTGACTTCGGTGCGTACCCCTAGGGGATCGCCTTCTTGGTGAATGGATATGTTGGCATCCACACGCAGGGCACCCTCTAAAGGAGAAGGATTTTTAGTTTTTAGTGAAAAGATTATTCAAACTTTATTACCTTCCATTTTACAGCTGCAGGTCTGAAGACGCCTTAGAATTAGCATTAGTTCCTTGACCAGCGAGGCTGCTTCTTCACCAGTTTCCAGATCTGGAGCAAAAACCAGCTCCATCAGGGGCAGACCAGCACGATTGAGATCCACAAGGCTTCTTTTTAGATAATCATCGTGCAGGGATTTTCCACTGTCCTGTTCCAATTGCAACTGCAGTAGTTTGGCCGTCTTGTAGTAAACTTTTTGCCAGGTGTTATGACGGGAAAGTCATTTTGCCATCATTAGCCAGGGCAGCTCGCTGCTGGGTGATCTGGTAGCCATTCTGGGGAGAAATGGTGTTTAACATGGTGTTAGGATGGTTACTTATGACATCTTACTGGCAAATCAGCGTAGAAGTATGCTTGCGATCAAACATGGACACCTCATTCACCCGACAGCCCAGAGCCAGTGATGTCTTGATGCCGGATTCTACACATTTTCGGTTTAGCACCTGGAATGAGACATTTCAAGTAATTACCCCATTTTAACTATAATTATTCATTCTCACCGGCAATGTGCCTGGGATGGAGGCATCGAAATAGGCCACGGAGGAGTTAAGTGGTGCTCCAAAGGATGTGCCACTGCCGGAGAAAAGCTTGGATGCACTGGAAATCTGTGCATGCACCTCCAAACCCACAACGCTTTTCCATTTCCTAAAAAAACCTTAGATGTTGAATAAATTCCTATAGTATTATTAAACTTAATTACCGCTTGGGAACGTTAGCCAACTTGGGCTGCGTGGCGAGTCCTCGTATTATTGTGTAATGCATTGTATTACATTAATTTTTTTATTACTATAACCGGAATCGGAATTGCAAGAAAGTTGCGCCAAAACAGCTGATGTTGTTTTGATTGTGGCCAAGGCTGCCAGACTTTCGGCCACGGCGTTGCCAGACCAAACCATCGATTGGCTGGCGATAACAGCGCAAGAGAAATATCACAAAAAAAATAACCTTTTTCATTTTCAAGACAAACATGTAAAACATGAGTTTAGCAGAGGTAGGCATTGCAGTAGAAACTCCACAAACCGAAACAATAGAGAGGGAAATCGAACGCAGCAGGAATTTAATGCCCATTGCCTGTTTTCCAGTTGACAGCGACCAAGACGAGAAAAAGCACACGCAGCTCTGCAAAAGACAACCACGACGACGAGCGAGTGGAGTAGAAGGAAGGACCAGGAGTGGAGTAGCAGGAGCAGGAGCAGTCGACCCAGGGCGGGCGGAAAAATCAATCGCAGCGACAGGAAGCCACGGAACCCGCCGCCGCCATGGTGATAGAGATAGAGAAGATCATCGGCGACCTGGAGTCCAACATGACGCTGGAGAACGAGGAGGCCAAGCGCAAGCTGGTGGAGTTGCTAACCCAGAGTGAGTTCTTAGTCCAGATCCCTTTCCATCGTCACGGCTTCCATATCCCCAATATCCAACTCCACAGACAAGGAGCAGTGGGTGGTGCAGTTCATGCTGGACTACTTCTTCAAAACCGGATCTCAGCGCATTCTGGAGGTGCTGGTCAAGGCCCAGGCGCCGCACGATGGCTTCATCTTTGACCGGCTGGACGACTGTCTGAAGCAGTCGCAGCACCGGGTGCAGAGCCTCCAGGTTTCTGCTTTATAGTGCGCCACCATCCCACCTGGCTGTACAAGATCGAGAAACACCGGCTGATCAAGAGCGTGTTCAAGCTGCTGACGGTGAGTTGGGCATGTATAGTCTTGTCCAGATTAATCATGGCTTTTGTTCCCCCACTCCATTCCAGCACGAGAAGGAGATTGTGCCGCTGATGAGCGCCCTGCTGTGCATAATCACCCTGCTGCCGATCATACCGAATTCCGTGCCCAACTTCCTCAACGATCTGTTCGAGGTTTTCGGGCACTTGGCCTCGTGGAAACTGCAAAACAGCGCCAAAATGCCGGACGAGAAGCTCGTCCACCTGCAGTTGGGTCTGCAGATGCTGTTCCACCGCCTGTATGGAATGTATCCCTGCAGCTTTATGGCCTATTTGGGGGAGTTCATCAAGCGGGGCAACGGCGGCGGCATCTTCCAGCACACGATCAAGCCGCTTTTGGACACGGTGCGACTGCATCCCATGCTGCTGACGGCCACGCCGGAGACGGAGGTGAACAATACGCGTTGGAAGGAGATGGAGCCGCATGACGTGGTCATGGAGTGCGCCAACCTGTCCCTGCCCGTGCTTCTGCCCGAGGCGAGCAACGAAGACGGCAGCTATGCGTATCCCATGACCCCGGGATACAGTCGCATGACTTCAAACACCTCGACTACGGACTATAGTTATCAGCTGAGGGAGTTGCAGCATTCGAGAAACGTGTACTCCCGCTTCGATTCGTCCGCCTCGGGTGGGGAGATGGGTGCCATCTGGAGTCCGCACAACGAGATCGCCACGACCAGTAGCGCCATACCGCTGACACCCACCACATCGTTTATTTTGCCACTGCAGCCGGCGATGAACTCCCAGCTAATGGTGGGCATGACGGGCTCCTCGCCGCCCGAAGCTGCTGTGGAGGCCACGCCGGAAACAACGCCCCTGAAGGATGTTAGAGAGATAAAGCAGCCAGGTCGTGCGGTGAATTCGCATGCCGTAAGAGCCATCTTCGCCGTAAGCCAGCCTTCTTCACCCATGCGCAAGGACCAGCAGAATCAGTTCAGTTTCCCTGATGTCACTCGTGAGGCGGAGGAAAGCAGTCATTCGTTTCTGGAGGTCAATAGGGTGACCACCTACGACCGGCGTCTGCAACAGGTCATGCAGGACAGGCACAACGCATCTTTTCCCAGCAGCATGCCTGAAATCAACTCCGAATTGTCCCTCGCCGGAGGTTCCGTCTATCCAGCTGTCACTCAGGAGGTCGCCGCCGTTTGCGGCGAGTGCAACGAGACGGACAGGAACCTGTGCAGCGTGGGAGGCCTTCACATGCCCACCAGCCGATCTATGCACCAGCTGGCCAAGAAGCGCCGCAATCGTATGGCCAGTTATAGTGGCCATGACAGTTGTGCGGACAGCAGAAGCTCGGCAGCCAAGAAGGCAAACTGGAGCGTGGAGGCAGAGAACCCAATGCGACGGACTAAGTCCTGCTCAGCTTTGGCCGCAATGCGGCAACAACATATGGAGGAAAACGACGACGAGGCCGATTGTCCGGGCCAGAGGCAGAGATCGGAGAATGGAAATACGCAAAAGACTGGCAGCCGCCTGCAGAGGAGCGGCCGGAACCTGGCCATTTCGGCGCCCAAGGAGCCGGCCAGAAGCTGCGCCCACGCCTCCACCCAGACGGTGGAAGGAGTGGATAGTGCTCCGGCGCAGTACGAGAATTGGCTGATTGAACTTCTGCTGGAGTGCAAGGAGCAGCGGAATAATTACGAGAGGAGCCTTCTGTACCCACAGGATTTCCTGGACGAGTACATCAAGCATGCGATCAAGGCCAATGAGACCTTCGACGCCGAGCAGGGTCAACTGATGTGCCTGCAGCTAGGGTACGAAAGCTACCGGCGGTCCATTCACGCGGAGCGCAATCGAAGGCTCATGGGCGAAGCAGAGACAAGCGCAGCCTGGAAATGGAGCGGGATCGGTTAAGGGAGCAGCTAAAGAACTTCGATGCGAAGAACAAGGATCTAGCCAGTAAGATGGATCAGGCCATGCGGTTGGCCAACGAGCGCCAGAACATCCACCAGGAGGAGCTGGGCGAGATGAGGGCAAAGTATCAGCACGAGCTGGAGGAGAAAAAGTGCCTGCGGCAGGCCAATGACGACCTGCAGACGGGCCTCACCAGTGAGGTGGCCCGCCATAAGGAGATGAACTACGAACTGGAATCGCTACGAGGACAGGTCTTCAGCCTTGGCACCGAGCTTCAGCACACCCAGCAGCAGGCGGACATGGGGCTGCAGTGCAAGCAGGAGCTGGCGCGCCTAGAGGCCGAGTTCATCATCATGGGCGAGGTGCAAGTGCGGTGTCGCGACCGTCTGGCCGAGATTGATAATTTCGTGCCCGCGACGAGGAACTGCAGATGCTGCAAGAGAGCAGCCAGCTAGAACTGAAGGGTGCGTATATGTTTTGTTTACAATTCACGTATGTTTAACCATTCGGTATTTATTTATTTAGAACTGAGGCACAGCCTGGACGAGAAGACATCACAGCTGGAGAGCATGAAGCACAAGATCAGTGACCTGCAGGCCCAGCTGGCCAACAGCGAGAAGGCCATGACGGAGCAGAAGCGACTTCTGAGCACGGTCAAAGATGAGTACGAGGAAAAGTTCAAGGTAGGAGCTCGATTCGGCCGGAAATTAAGTGGAGAAGAAAACTCAGAGGCCTTGTTATACCTTTTCTTTCAGTCCGTGAACAAGAAGTATGACGTGCAGAAGAAAATTATCATGCAGATGGAGGAGAAGCTGATGATGATGATGGCGCAGCCGCAGGGGATTGCAGGTCACAACACGTGCTCCCCGGACACGGACAGAACTGGTGAGTGGAGTGCAGCTTTGACCAGCTTATAAAGCCCTTGCTAATGGTCCCTACCCACAGACATTGCTTCCTCCATTGAGCGCAACTCGCCGCTGTCCACTTCGCTGGCCTCCAGCGAGAGTCTATCGGCCAGCCTGCGCTCCACGGAGCTGAAGAACCTGCACCAGCTGGTGGACACACCCTCGATGCCGGAAGTGCTGAGCAGCCTGGCCGCCGGCGCCCAGTTCGAGGACGTGCGTCTGCCGGCCGTGGATCTGGCCTCCTCGGCCAGCACCGCTAGTGCCATCAACATCGTGCCGCACGCCTTGGACCTGCCGTCAACCTCCGGCGGCATCGGTCACACGCTTACCCACCCACATCCGCATCCGCATCTCCACCTGCAGCAGCAGCAACAGGAGCAACTGCAGCAGGAGCAGCTGACGCAGTTTGTAAAAAAGAACTAGCTTTCCTTCGCTAAACAAATGTCTATTGGGAAAATCCAAACAGAAATCAACAAAAAAAGTTATTGGTTCTACATATTTTCATATTCAGTTCAAAACTGTAACTAAGGTTTAATAAATCGCTGACTCCACGCAATAATTATAAAGGTTATACAAAATATTAATGTTTGAAATTTTAACTTGTTTAGCACATTGCAATTTGTTGTAAAAAAAAATGGTTTTGATACGAGGCAATAAGTAAGGCGCGCATTCACATTATAATAAACATTTAATTAAGATCAGCAAGCATAAAAGCCGAGTTTTATTTAACTTAAATTAAAACCCAATTGAGTTATATAACAAGCGCCAAACTTTTGAATTTTTTGGCCAAGAGATCAAACAAAAACGTAAACAAACCGGGTGGCATTGCCAGCTGAGAGAAATTGAGTAGAGTGGCAACGTCATAAAGAACAGCTGAGCGGAAGCAACAATAATAATAGGAAGAAGAAGCAGAAAAGAAACGCCTATAAATCAGATCATACAAAAAATCAGGAAACTATATATGCTGTCCCAATACATGGAGGAGTTTGAGCAGGTGGGTTTCCTGGTCATTTACCTACCATTTGGGCCTTTAATCTATCAACCAAAACCGACAGGAGCCCTTTGAGGTGGGCGAGTTTATAGAACGCCTCACCTGGCGCACCAATAATGAGCTGCAGAACAGCGAGGACTTCCATCCTGTGGCCCTGCATGATACCTTCATTCAGACCATTAAGGACCTGAAGATCCTGCAGGAGAAGCAGCAGAGCAAGTGCGAACGGCTCGAGGAGTCGCTGCGCCAGGAGAAGGAGTCGCACGCCAAGAAGATCGCCAAGCTGCAGGAACGCCACCAAACGGCCATCGATGTGTTTGGCCAGCTGGACGAGAAGATCAACTCGGTGGCCGGGAAGATTATGCACCTGGGCGAGCAGTTGGAGAACGTGAACACCCCTCGCAGTCGTTCCGTGGAGGCGCAGAAGTTGCTCAACTTTATGTCCGAGTTTTTGGCCGCCGGACCTGTGATTGTCAACGATATTTTGCAGATGCCACTCGACTAAGTGAAGCCGCCGACGTAATCCAGAAGCTCTATGCCATCTCGCAGGATCTGCCGCCGGGAACTTTGCCGAGTCTAAGCGAAAAATCGAAAAGAAATACGATGAAGTGGAACGGCGGCTGATCGAAGAGTTTGCCACGGCCCAGAAAAGCGAGGACATTGAGCGCATGAAGACTTTGGCTCAGATCTTGTCCCAGTTCAAGGGCTACACCCAGTGTGTGGACGCGTATATCGAACAGAGCCAGATGCAACCGTACAGCGGCAAGGACATCTTTATAGGCATTGTGCCGCTGTGCAAGCACCACAACGAGATCATTCAGAAGGTTTTCGCCAATCCGCAACAGGTCATGTCCAAGTTCATATTGAACATCTACCAGCTAAAGCTGCACCAGTACGCTATGACCAAGCTGGAGGACAAGAAGGATGAGGAGAAATATCTGCGGACCTGTACGAGTTATACTCCCGGTAAGCATTTTGTACAATTATTAAATTTGAGATCTAATATCTTATCAATCCAATTTCAGCACTCTGAAACTGTCCACGGATCTGCAAGTCTACATGTCCACCATAGATGACGACTTACTGCAAAAGCTAACGCAGCAGATTTTCGTAAAGCATCTTGCTGGATACGCCGAAATGGAGACCAAGTGCCTTACAGCGAAATGCTCACGGAGCTGGAAAAGTTCTATGCCAGCAAGAAGCACAGAAGACGGCGACTACCAAGGGCTTTCGGCGCAATATGGAGGTTTGATAGCCACGCGGGCCAATATAATATTGCCGCCATTGAGGACTATGGCGGCGAGACGTTTTGTCCGAGGAGCTGGCCATCAACATGCTGCAGGAGGCAAAGGCCTCGCTCAAACGCTGCCGTCTGCTGTCCAATGAGACCGAGCTACCAGGCAATGCCATTAAGCTCAACGATATCCTGCTCCGTTTTCTAATGCATGAGCATGTGGATACGCACTGGAGTTGGGCTGCAGGCGGTACCGCTGCCGAGGGCAGGGTCTTTCCGCAACTGTATTTCTTTGATGTGGTGCAGAAGACAAACATCATTGTCATCTGCTTGACAAGCTGTGCACACATCTGTAATACCCTGTGTGAGGTAAGTTTGACTTACTGTGTTAAGTTAATGTACATGGATTTATGAAAATCGTTTTCAGTAATACGGCCAAATACTCGACTATGTATTTAAGAAGCGTATTCTGATGGAGCAGATTGAGACCAAGCTGGATCAGGGTCTGGACCGCTCCATCAGCGCTGTAATTGGTGGGTAAGGTCTATTTGCAATACGAACAAAAGAAAACCGACTACAAGCCGGAGACAGATGTGGATACCATTTCCTCGGCGGTAAGATATATATTTAGGCGGTAAAAGCATTTATAAGCTAAAAAAATTTTAACTTCTACTTTCTAGGCCTGCCTGCAAGTCGTGCAGAATCTGCAGCCCGTCATTGTGCAGATTAAGAAATGTGTCGATGGAGAGAATCTGCAGAATGTCCTGACGGAATTCGGAACCCGACTGCACAGGGTGATCTATGATCACCTCCAGACCATGCAGTTCAACACGGCCGGAGCCATGTGCGCCATCTGCGACGTGAACGAGTATCGCAAGTGCATTCGCGAGCTGGATAGTCCGCTGGTGACGCAGCTCTTCGACATTCTCCATGCATTGTGCAATCTATTACTTGTTAAGCCACAGAACCTTCAAGAGGTTTGCACAGGTGACACTCTGGTAAGTGTGCGGTGTCTTTGATTTTGGCTCTAATTCTTACGTTACCATTTTTTTTACCCCTACTTCAGAATTACCTAGACAAGTCTGTGGTGCGGCAATTCATTCAGCTGCGCACTGATTTCAGAATCATCAAAAACACCAATTACCTGAAAGGTATTATTGAGTGAGGAGTTCAGCTACCAGAATGAGTCACATTCCGAAATTTTCCACCTTGCGCGGTGCTGTCTGCCGGATTAAATTGATATATTGAAGGGACATTATCTAATAATAATTAATTACGGCTCGCTATGTTCTTTAACTTTCAATTAAAGTCAAGTGGCTGGTTACTTTTATCTACACATCGCCAAAGGCACTTGATTTGTTTTACAGTATTTATAGCGCTACTCACACGCGTGCCCGCCACCCAACCACCCACTCCAGACCCTCACACGCCCCCAGCGACGTCACGGACGTCCCCATACCAAATCTTCAAAGTGATCGGTGGCGTTATCAGTCAGAACCAGAGCGAAAGTCAGTGTTAGTGGCTCCAATCGGCTCCCAGTAATAAATCAAAGTTTATTGCTTAAGCGCCTGTGGAGTATTTATTTATTTACGTTTAACCGGAGAGAACAGGTACTCTCCCATCGAAGAGAAGCCAAATTGTACGGCGGCTACTTTTGGGGGGCTCACTATTCTTGGTGTCAGTCACCTATTAACCACCAAGCCAATCGTATCGCCAAACAATCGTTGTCGGCCCGTGATCCTCATTATCAACCCCTTTTGTTATTGTTATTGACATTTGGAAGCTATTTGCACTTTTACGCGAAACGCTTTTGCCCGATATTTAATCGAATCGCGAATCAAGATCTCAAAGATTTGATTAAGAACCATGCAAGGCCCTTATGGATCACTACTTAAAAATACTCTTGCTCATTTGCGCTGTCCACCAAATCGCCGGTGGTACGCTAAATCCACCCGAGATGCTGCCTACAAAAAATATCTTTCCCTAAGATCTTGCCCTTCGAGACTGTGGTGAGTATATCCGATAATCAGTAGGTCGTTTTAAGAAACACAAGAATTACTTGGTTTTTACAGGGGAAAAAACAGGTAATGAAATATTAACATACAAGAAATTATTAAGGTGAAATGGAAATTTCAAAGTTTGAATAGGTTAATTTGTCATATCCTTCCATTTACTAAAATTCAGAGTATGAGTGTTCTAAAATTCCAACCAAAAAAAAAAACCGAAAAAACAAGCTCAACGAATATCAAAAGTGATCCTTCTTCACCAGCCATCTTAAAAAAAAAGAAGTAAGTATTTTGATTAGAAAACCATCAGGACCATTAAAAATACCTAGGGCCCAATCTCACCTGACTTAAAGTGCTGCTTCCGTAAACAAAATTGCAGTCTTTAAATAAAATACAACTGTCATAAATGGTAATTCCCCAATAGATAAATAGAATTTATGATATATTACCAAAATTAATCAATCGACCATTTCTATCAGATACAATTTGAAAATGGGTTAGTCAGTTGGAAATAACCATAGCGTAATATTCGAATGACATCAACAAAAATTAGCTGTATGCATTGTAAATTATTTGATATAGTACAGAGATTCATTGACCAGGCTCTTATCAAAGGTATTACCAAAATCTTATTTACGGCTAGTAAAAATACGTATTAAAGCAGTTGTAGTCATGCAAAAAAGGTGCAACTTATTTTTAGCTTAAGTAGCTTAACTTTATACACAGCATTAAAACTTCGAAACTTTTTATAGTTTCCCAGGGCATAGTCTTTAATTTGTATTTTGGTTTTTACGATTTTTGATTAACTGTAGTATTTATGGACTGGTCCCAATAAATCAATGATTTATGTTCTAGAATCGAAGTACTCTATACAAACAGATATGACGCCTTTATGGGGGATTACCTATTATTGTAACACTGATAGACAGGCAAGCGCCCCTCAGAGGGTACTAATCAATTAAAGAACTTAATTAACAGAGTGGTGTAATCTACGAACACGGTTCATTTAAAAGATAGAAACTGTTTGAAGGCCTTGAGAAGTGCACTTGGTCATAGATTATAGAATACTGTGAATATATAGGTGTATGTCTGTGTTGATCGCAGATAACTCGGCTTAGTTGCTGGGAAAGGTATTTATTAAACTAAAATTGTTAATTTGTTGCCAGGTTGTATATAGGTGGAAGTGGCATGTGCAAAGTCACGTACCCAATGATTGCAATTAAGAATAGTATTTAGAATAACAATTTATCTAACCTGAAGTTTTTCCCTAAACTAACATGCCAGTGTAGATCTTTTTCCATTTAAGAAAAATGTTAAAAATCGTTGTCTAAAATGGATACGAAATTATTAGATCAAGTATTAATAAGCTAATTCACCTTTTTACTTTTAAAGCTAAACGTATCCTTATTTTCTTCGATTATTTCAGGTTCTTTGTACCAGGTCAGCTACCTGGACATCGAGAGCTGTACGTCTCTGCCTTGCTCCATGGCCCGAAACGCCACCATTAAGGTTACTGTGCGCTTCGATGATAATGGTAAATACAAATATATCAACGCACTGATAAGACCAGATCCTCAGAGAAAGAAACCGCTCCTCGCTTTCTGCGAGCAAAAGTCAGTCGGAACTAAAAATAGATCTAGTGCGGGCGAAGAATTTCGATCAGGTGGATGGCGGATGTTTTGGGGGGGCAAGATGTATAGGAACCCCCGAAACCCCATAGTATTCGGTAGTAGGCCAACCACTGCGTGCACAAATGATGATGGCAATATTGATAAGCACCTGTCGTAAATATAATTGATCCAAGATTGTAAATCTACGAAATTTCACCAAATTTCCTGCTGCGACTACTACTGTTTACTTCGTTGCAGTCGTTGAGATATTGACATTGATTGCAGCCTGGGGCCCCGCCCCAAAGTCGCTCCATAAAAATATAATGAATGCTAATGATATTTTGATGAATCAGCAGAAATGGAGACCAAATCGACCAATTGATCTCAGCACGAATCGAATATTTGGAGTACTAATTCGCGATAGGGGGCTGTAACAAAGATTGGCAAACATTTAGATTAAGGGGAGCATGCAAAACAGATTCTTTTAATTGGATTATTTGGAATTTGATAAATAATGTACACCTGAGGGAAAATAATAGCTCACACGGGATATTTTACCTAATAAATCAACTAAATAATTATATTTCTTGTTTTACAGGCAATGGGGTATCCTTTCTAAAACATGAAGTCCGATGGGTGTTTAACTTTATCAAGACCCAGGCGGCCATAACTCCCGATCCGTGCGACGGGGATCATGGATGTATAGAAAGTGCAAGTGATGGCAAAGCGTATTGGGCCAATATCTTTGTAAATGAAACTCTACCGGTGGTAAGTTCAGAACCCACTTATAAGTTTGCATCCATATATTTTACCAAATTAAATTCATTTTTATCTAAGCTTATGCTGCAAGTCCCAATTTAACTCATCTAGTTTTAGTGGCAAGAAATAAAAAGAATTTCAAAAATATATTTAACAATTTATTAAACTCATGATATCACCTTTTGATATGGAGCTTTAAATATGGATAATACATTTTAAACCAATCTGGAATTAATACAATATTTCCCTCTGTGTTGCAGATGAAAGGCAGCATGTTGTGGGAATCCAAGGATGCAAACGATCAGAACCTAATCTGTTTCCAGGTTCCCGTTGTAATCACAGTGTAAATGTGTAATCACGAAAATAAAGTAATTGGTGCATGCAAATCAACAGACCAGTGTGTGTGGGTGTGTGCGTGCGTGTGTGCATCCTTTAATGAAATTTGAATGAAAATGAGGGAGGCGCGGCATCGTAGTAGTAGAAAGGGAGAGGAGAGCGAGCGAGACGGAGACAGCGGAGATGGAGGTGGAGATCTCTGTTTTGGCACACACACTGGCCGAAAGATGCTGAGAGGAGAGGGAGCGAGAGCAAGTGGAGCACAGCACAGTGGTTCAATAACATAAGAAAAGTTTAAAAATCTCTAGATCAAATTGAATTTGTTATCGCAAGAACCTGAAGAATTCGCGAGGTTAAAATAAAAAAAACAAAATATAAGTTGAATTCTGTAGATTAAATTAAGTCGTTTCTGAATTAAAGCTTAAACACAAAGGTTTAAGTTTACGCATTGTTTTTTATTTTATTAAATAAGTCCCAAATTTACCCGAACTTGCCCACTGTGTACGAGAGAGCGGTGGGAGAACGGGAGAATTGGAGCTCGAGCCCTGCAGTCCGAATCCATAGCGTTCAGTGTGTCACTCTCTCTTGGCGGCTGCAGCGCAACGGTCGTACGAAAAGAGCTCCCACTTGAGATACTTTTTCAGATACAGATACGGTTTCGGTTTCGGTTTGGTTTGGGTTTTGGATTGGATCGGGCTCCAAGTTGCCAGTTCCCAGGAACGGAAATCGAACAGTGCGCGGCGAATTAAATAATAAGTGGCAGCAGGCGATCAAAGAAGGCTCTCCGGCTGCGTAGGTGTACGAGATCGCAGAACGTGATCGGGAAGTGGATTGGAGCCAGTGCATCCGAAAGTGTTTCCATTACCGTGAGTACCCAAAAATGCGTCGCACTGCTCGCCATTTGTACAATTCCGTCGGCGTAAATGAGTTTGCCTTCGTGCTAATTGCGGATGGGTAAGAATGGTGGTATAGGGGTGCCCAAGGGGATAGATATGGATCCCATTGGATAGTGCACGGGTGACATGCATTCACATCTCTTCTCACGCGTTAAAAGCTCTCTTAGCCGGACACTTGAGGTACCGGCGTTTTTTCTAAAGAACACTGAGAAAATGAATAATCGGAAAGCCAAACCCCCAATCAAATTTAACGTGCATATATAATTTTAATGTTAAATTAAAAAACATTTTTTATGTTGTTCTACTTACCAGTTTAAATTAGTAATTGTAATAAGTTCAACTTTTATTATATGTTATCTACATCTAAATGTATTTAAAAAGAAGAGTCCGTCGAGTTTAAATTATGTGTCAGGATGATCTTGTTCTTCTCAGAATAATCTTATTAACAGTTTTGGGGTTTTTTAAAAAGATGTAATGATCTGATATGGGACCACCCAGGGGAGCCTTCAGGCAATTCTATAATCGGAAGTACAAGTATGAATGTACAAACAAATATCATATCGCTGAACCTTGAGCACGGCTTCGGGTTCGGAACCTGACGTAGAACACGACACCGCCTTGGACACACATCCTACCCCGTTTCGCTCCGGTTGAGCTTGCGCTTGAGCACATGCCCAGCTGGGTGCTTGAACCCCATAAATGGGCTTCCATTGGGAGTGCTTGGATTTCCTCGCGGGCTTAAATGGCACAATGTGATCCGGGGAAACCGCACTTGACAACAAAAGATACAATACCAAGTTCTAGCTAGGGGAAGCTAGGTCATCTCAAATTAGCAAAATGAATGCTCAGGTTTCTAGTTCTTTTAATTTATTGGTTACAGATATGGATTTCAAGCATTCAGTATTAAATTGAAAAAAAAAAAAAAAAAGTTTCTAAGTAATTTTTACAAGTAAAAAAATAAATTGATGATGAATTGATTAGGCAATAAATTTGCATGCAGCGAAATGTTGATTCTGACGCATACTAAAAACGGAATCGCACTTTATTTTTATGATATTTGAGAAGGGAACTTCACGATTTCTTTTAATGCACAACAGTAAACATTCAGTTGATATTTACATTATGGATAACTGTGATTCAGCAATGATCGTGGGTAATATGGGGCCCCTCTGCCCAGCGGGACCATCGAGCTTCTCAATTTGATCTTGCCATACTGGCCTGGCCCCAAAATTGATGATTGTACTCCTCCCCTTTTGATGGTGTTTTGTTACTTGCCCTCTTCGAGCGTTAACGTTTTTTATTTTTTTTTTTTACAACCAATGCACTTTGGCAGTGGCAGAGGCAACAATGCGATGACGTTGCTGCTGTTGGTCAAAGTGTTAAACGATTTGCATCATATTACACACAGTTGTTGCTTCTGCTGCTGTTGCTGCTTTGAGTTTGCTGGCCATTGTCGCCGGATTGCTATTGTACTAAGCCCCAAATGGAGGACCAAGTGGTATTGGGGATGGGGTATTGGAGAAGGGTAGGGGTGCAGATGGACACGGAGCTGCAACTGGAGGCAAAACAAAAGCAACACTCCAGCAACAGCAGCAACCACCAACGATTTATCACAGCAACGACGTCAACGAAATCGATCCGGATCTTAGTGCCCCCCATCATCCTCATCCCCATTTCCATCTGCTGCCCTCCTTAACAACTCCCCTGTATGTACACTCGAAGAAATTGTGGGCCAATTTCCTTAAAACTCCATTGAGCGATTAAGTCTTAAAGCTTATTTACTTCCAATTGGAGTTCCCATCGGCATTTTTTGGATATTCTTGGTAGTTTTTATTCTTATAAACATTTTTTGGAACTGTAAGGATCTTAAAAGAAACTAATTATAAATAGATTATAATATTGTAAAGATTATGAAATGTCATTCATTAAAATATCTATGTTTATCTTAAGATCGTTCTGTGTATTTCCTTTTAGAGGACAACTTTCCAGGGTACCTAAGATTTTAAAGGTATTTTTCCAAGTGCATCGAATGTGTGCTGAGCTATGCTCGCCAAGTGCCTTTTCGCCTTGGTGTGCGTGAAGCATAAAAAGTAATTTTGAATTTTTGAATCGTTAAAAGCAATTAATCGCCTCTACGCAACGGCAGCCAGCCTGGCTGCGACTCGACTGTCTCATCAGCGTCAGCCGCAGAACCCATTCATCTGGAAGAGTCGTGGCCGCGATCCTCAACCCCCAATCCCCAATCCCCATTCCCGTATCCCCATACCCCATATCCCATATAGTATACCCCATCCTAACCCCACCCCATTCCCCGCATTGCCGACGCTTTACTGCCCAATTTTGTTGCAAATTTTTCGTTCCGCGGAACTTGGTGCATTTCATCTCGTCTGCTCTTGGTGATCGTCGTCGTCGCAGTCGCCGCTTCATCTTCTTGCGTCGATCGTCGCGCACATTCATTTGTCGCTTAATGTCCCTCAGTTAGGCCGCCCCGGGCCTGCACTCCCCGCAGCCATTCCGAGCTCCTTGGCCCCCAATCCATCGCATCCCAGTCGGAGTGGCAGTCGCAGTCCCCACAGCAGCGGTCAGCAGAAAAGGTCTCCCAATGAAAATGAATTTGAATAGTTTCAAAAATGTTATCACATATCATATAATTTCTTGGTAACATTTATACGAAAATAACAGAATTTCTTCGCAGAAAATTGTTCTCAATAGTATTAGTTCCTGTATAGAAATATTATAATATTATTCCTTAAGTAAAGAATTGTTTTAAAAAAAGACTTACATTATAAACAAATTTTAGTTCAATGATCTCAGATTTTGAGTAAACCCCTTGAAGTTCTCTGTCTTTTAGATCTCAAAAATCGTTGCATACTTTTTAGCGAGATACTGTTGCGAAGATATTCACAAAAAACCTACTTGGGATTATAATATAAGTCCGATCCAAATGAAATCTAAGATAAGAAGGATTAACTGTAAGAGGTACATTATCGTTGAAACTGTTCCCCTATTTTGGGATCAAAGAAATTACTCATACGTAGTGTTGCTTGCAAGTAGGATAGACATAGGTACCATATCAGGTTAAAATTTCGAAGATGATATGGTTTTTCTTCATACAGTAAGGCGAGGAGGGCTTTAATGTATTTTTTTAATGGGGTTAGATTATCCCTTCCTATTGATTAGTTATATATTACTGACCACATACGTGCGGGGCACGGCATCTCCTGGCTGCCCCACCACCGCATCGCTGCACCACTTCTCCACTCGACTGCTCCCAGAGTGTCTGTATCGCCTTGGTATGTGCGGCATCTGCTGGCTAGGCTTCTGATCTGATGAGGCTGCTGCTGGTGGCTGCTTCTGCTGCCCCTGCGACTGCAAATGTGGATATGGTATGTGGATGTGCCCATGGATGTGGCTTCAGATGTGGTGACATCCACTTGCAGCTCTCGCACATTCGTCGTAGTCGTATTTTTCTCAATTTTGTTTTCGCTGCCTGCACATTCACACGCAGTCGAACAGCAACAAAAACCAAAACAACAACATAAACCGACGACCATCGACCATACCATAAAACATTAGTTTCCCATTTGCGTGCTAAATACCCTACATGGAATCGATGCAGGCACATCGATATCGATGGCTAGGGAAAACAGGTGAAGCATTTCGAGGAGTCTTTTCTGGTCCAGGGTTCCCGGAATCGGTGATGCAAAATTAAGCTGAAAAGAGCTGTCAGTGCTTAGAAAGGTGCGAAGATCTATACACTTGGAAAACGTTTTGGGGGGTATTTCTAACTATTGAGAGGATTTGAGAGATACCTACATAATAAAAGTTCAGTTATTTTTAAATTTTAACTAGACAACCTGAAAACAAAATATAGTTGGATAAATAGGAACTCATTAAAAACAAATAATGCATCGAGTATTTGCACATTTAAATCTTTTAATTGCTAGTTTTTTTTGATATCATAAAAAATCAGACCCTTAACTTCCTTCGTCCAGTGTAGGGCATCAAGGAGTCAGCTCCGAATGGAGATGCATAGCTTCGTTTGGCCGTCCGTCCGATGCTCTCGTGGCACGCACTATGATGCGCGCTTTGAAGTCCTGTCAAGCACTTGAGATACATTTATGTATTTTTTTGCATTTTCATTGCCTTGACTTCGGGGTCGGGCGGCACAAATGCGAGGAATGATTAGTTAGTTGGTCATGCAAAATGGGTGAAACCGGTTTGGATCCCATCGAAATCGAGGGCAGGGGGACAGAGAACAGGGGAGCGGGTGATCCTTCAGCATAATCAGCGGGCTGCTGTGTTGATGATCGGCACAAATTACGAACGCACGGAATGTCCAGAAACCAAAAGCTGATCACCTGACGCATGATCATTTGCAGATTGCAATCACCGAGGCTCGGATCGGTTCAGATGGGCAGCATGCAAGTGGCGTTGCTGGCGCTGCTTGTTCTCCTCGGCCAGCTATCCTCTAGCGCCGTGGCCACTGGGTCCTCCTCCACGTCCTCCGCGTCTAACCAGCGACAAAAGGTGGCCCATTGGTTCCGAGATAGTAACGACGTTAAGGATAAGATTTTGGAGCTGCAGTGCCTAGCAAATGTGGCGGCAGCAATCCCTTGAGTAAAGCTGGACGGGAGCAGTGCCTGGACAAGTGCATCCAGGAGCTGCTGTTGGGACCCAGAGCCGGCAGCTGTCCCAAAATTGGCAGGCAGACGCGGGCGAGGCTCTCCTGTCTGGACAACTGCCAGTACGATCATGAATGCCCGAGGTGCAGAAGTGTTGCGCCTCCAGTTGTGGGCCCATGTGCGTGGAACCTCTGGGCGTAAGGAACAACACGCTGCTTCCACCGATACCTAAGATCCTGTACTTTCGAAGGTCACGGGGTCATGCAGTCGATCTGAAGATTGAATCCTCGCTGCTGGTCTACTACTTCATGTGGAGGTACGATCCCACATAGGAAGATATTTGCGGAGCGGAAACTGGGCCCTTGGCAGTGGCAGAAGGTGGAGAAGACCATGGAGGAGAACATTGGGCACAGCAAGCAGTAGGTTGAACTTCAGCTCATCCTAAAGATTTTTTTTAACATACGACTTTCTTTCTTCTCCCACAGCACTTATATCTTTTTTCATATGCGACCAGGACGCTGGTATGAGGTTCGAGTGGCGCCGTTAATGCCTATGGTTTCCGGGGATACTCAGAGCCAAGCGATCCCTTTCCTCGACAGGCAGTAAGTAACTTAATCTAGGTTTTCAACTTAACCTTGAGCTTCATATAAAAACCATTAGATCCCAAGCCCCGAAGGCGCCAAACGATTCCAAGATCATTGCCAAGCAGTTCGATGGGCGCTATATGAACTTAAGCTGGTATGGTGCCCTCCAAGTCGAACCTGCCCGTGGAGAAGTACAAGATCAGTTGGTCCTTGTATGTCAACAGTGCAGAGGCTCGATGATCACCTTGGACACCTATGTTAAGGATGTGAGCTATACCCTTAGTATGGATGGAAACATTAAAACAATCAGCTTGCGATGCTTTCAGACCCATCAGTTCGAGATCAAGAAACTGCTGCCCAACTCCTCGTACTACATCCAAGTACAGGCCATCTCCTACATTGGATCGCGTCGCCTTAAGTCCGAAAAGTTGTCCATGCTCTTCAATACGACCTACAGCCCCTGGAGCCAATCAACCGCTCCAGTGCTCCGGGAATGGGAACGGGAATAGACGCCGGCACCATCACATTAGCAGTTCCATCAGTTCATCAGACGGGTCACGACCCCGGCGCCAGCTGGCCTCAATGAAGTTTCGCCCAATATAGCCAACCGGACAACGGCCGCCTCATATGAAGTGGGTTTCCGGTTGAACCGGAAGTTCGGCATGATTGTGCAGATTGTGGGCTTCCAGCCGCACAAGGAGAAGTAATTATTTGTAAACATTTTGGCCACTAAATGCAGAAATTTCACCCCAATACACTCGCAGGGTCTATGAACTGTGTCCCCAGGAGACGAACTGCGAGCAGCGAGAGTTCCGCGCAATTCGCGCCAAAGTAAGTAATACCCTTGATGATGTTCTGATGGGAGCCACGAGCCACATGTCGGAATATTTCGTGCCGATTGGCCGGACCACCGGGCAAGGGCAAATCAGTGGAGCATCGTTGACCATGGGGCATTGTTTTTACAAGGGGCAATCATGTTTCCTCCTTTTGACACGAAAAACACGTCTTAACAATAGCCAGTACGTGGTCAAATGCCAATCAATATTTTTCCCAATAACGATGAAGAGAAATGGGTCATGGCATAGGTGTACGCCAACTACAAAGATCTTTTAATTAACTTCATTACCTCCCGTTTTGATTGCAGAGGATCCGCTGGAGTTCAGCAAACTGAAGTACAACACCACCTACGTGCTGAGAGTACCGCGATCTAGTCCCAATTCCGTGCTGGACGACTCCAGGAATGTCTTCACCTTCACCACGCCCAAGTGCGAAAACTTCCGCAAGAGGTTTCCCAAGTGCAGATCAAGTGCAGCGAATAGCCTTCGGCTGGGCGCAAACCCACTGCTGACCATGAGATTACACTAGATTGTAAATAATTGTATGTAAAACTTAACTTTTACTTATTGTTAGACTTAAGGACACACACACAACAAGAAACTGAACCAGATTGTTTTCTACGTGAAGAGGTCCTTGAACTGCTGCAGATCCTGCTGATGAGTAGGTTTCTGGCTAGTGGCACCCAATAGTTTGCAGTCTTCCAGGCGGACACCGTGCTCCAAAAGAGCTGCAATCAGTCGGGAGGTGTAGAGCACTGGACCACCCACCAGATGCAGGAAATCGAAGTGCTTCTCTCGTCGTGTGCTGAAGAGGATTCGCTTGGACACAAAGTCTCCGTAGTTGCTGATCCGTCCCACGCAAACGTATCGCTGCAGTGATGGTGCGTATACCTCGAGGACTGCCCGGAGACTTTCCGCGGGGTTAAAACTTCTGCTGATGCATAAACCACTCGGAAGGGTATATCCAAAGCCTTGTAAAAGTCTATCGCCAGATTGAGAATGTGCTCTAGTTGGGCGTCCGCTTCCTGCGCCGTTTGTGTGGCCACAAAGCTCTGTACGGCATTCGTTTGGGTCGCCGTATAAAGACTGGACGTGGGTCCATATAGCTCCGCTTCCGCCCGGTTGTAACTCCGACCACAGCAGACATAACGCAGGGGCAGCACGGATGGATACACACACAACTTTGTCATGGCGCCTAGGTAGCTCTCAAAGGAGCCTCCTCCGGTCAAAAAGGCGGTGTTGATCTTGTTTTGCAGATGCTCCTCCTGCACCAAATGATAGTCGGTCAAGGGCGTGGCATTTGCCTCCAGTAGGACGCAACGCACAAAGTCCGGATTGGCGGTTTGAATAAAGTCGCCATGGTTGACGAAGTACCGGGCCAGGGACTGCATGGCATTGACGTCAAAGTGAGCAGCCTGCTCCATCATGTAATACCGGTTGTTGTCCACAAAGTGTATAAGATCCTGGCGGTCCAAGTGGGAGCCGGTCTTATTTCCGATTTGGGCAGGCCATTCCGATAGAGGAGCTTCTCCTCCCCGCCAGTGGGACACTGGGCATGCAGGCGGTTGGGCAGGTGCAGGTAGTCATGTATGAAGTCATCCTCGATGGGATAGAGTGTCTGTTTTAGGGTCTTTAAGTCGTTGCGCAACGCTTTCCCACGCTCTTTCAGCTCCTCAAGTTGCTCCGCCCTGCCTCCGGATTTGGTGAGCTCTTTCAGACATTGGTCACCGCCTCCCGTTCCTCGGAGACCTTGCCAGCTGGCGTGGTGCCTCCCATACTTCTCGTACTTGCTGAGCACACTTTCCAACCGGATGTCCAAGCCCCGGCTGGCGATGCTCTGCTCCAAAGATTGGCGTCCCTGAAGGTTTCCTTGAAGTCCAGATACGGCTGCAGGTCACATAGTTCTCGTTGGCCTTATCGCCGGTTATGTAAAGGGCTGAGATGTTTCTGCTGCACGTTTTCCTGGCCGAAAGGCAGTTTTTTAATACATTTCGAAGGCTCAACATTTTTGTTATTACCAAATGCAACACAAAATCAACCGGTAGAGTCAGCTGTTACCGGTGTTGCCAGATCGATGTTATTGTTAAGGGTATCCAGTACCGGAAGTCGTTAATTTTTATTTTAAAACAAATTGGGGACTCCCCTGATGAGACGAATAGCTTTTTATAAACACCTGCTCAAAACGAATATTTATTAATTTTTATCAATTTTGATAAGTTCCAGCTAGACGTCGAATTTTGTTAGATAAAAAATTGGGATTTTTCTTTTTATTGAGTCCAAATATATGATATAATACAAAACTTATTTATTATTTTATTTGTTCCGTATTAAAAGCAGTCATTTTTTTATATTTTTTTACCAACATATGTATGTATGTATGTGTATAATATGAGATAAGCTTAATGCTGCTGCTGCTCATAAGACTTCGCAAAGCCTCGGCATAGAATGGGGGCGGTTGAAATAAGTCAATTTCATGGAAAGGAGTTCCTTCCAGCAATTTACAGAGAGTACCATGTTTTCAAAGTTTTGATCATAGGCTGGTGCAATGTCCTCGTCATGATGGTGTGGCTCAATGAAGTCCTTAAGGAACGGATGGTGCATTGCCTCATCAGCTGTAATACGGTTTTCTGGAACCATTTCGAGCATTTTCTCCATCAAATCCACAGCTACTGGATTGGCATTTGGAAACATTTGATAGAAGTCCTGTTTTTCACGATAGGGATACCTTTCCACGTAATTAAGAGAATTTCATTTCTTATACCCCTGGTGAACTCCTCCGACGGCGAGCCCATTATCTCAAGCAGGCGCACAAGTTGATTAAAATAGCATCACCAGGAAATAAGGCATGACCCGAGATGAGTTCGGCCAGGATGCAACCGACAGACCACATATCGATGCGATTTGTGTAGTTATCCCGGAGGAAGAGCAGTTCGGGGGCCCGGTACCACAGGGTACCCACAAAGTCCGACATAATGTTGCTGGACAAACGGGCCAAGCCGAAGTCGAGAATTCGCACTTCAATATTTTGATTTACCGCGATATTACAGGGCTTCAAATCGCGATGAATGACACCGGCGCTGTGGATGTACTTCAGACCTCGCAGTATTTGGTAAGGATAGATCTAATGTGGTATCGGTGATCCTGCTTGAGCGTGCAAATCTGTGAAGGTCATCGTCCATCAGTTGAGTCACAAAATAAACATTCTGAAAATCGCCATTCTGTGGGGGCGGATGGAAGACGTGCAGCAGGCTGATAACATTCCTGTGGTTCATGTGCTTTAGCAGACGAAGCTCACGATAGGCGCCCTTGGCATCCTCCTCTCTCTCGAATGGCCGCACCAGCTTTTTCATCGCTACATCCTCAATGCGGGCGCCACGTAGTCTCACCCTGGCCACCTGGCCAAAGGACCCCATTCCAAGGGGTCTAACCACCTCGTATACGTCTGGGAATACCCAAACGCTATTGTTTACTTCCACTCTCGCAAATCCCGCCATTCCAATTAAATATTTTAAAAATATCTTCAGGGTTCGACACTAAAAACATACTAAAGTCTCAATTATTAATTTACCCCCTCAAACCATTTTTTATCAAAGAGTTCTCAGTATCTAATCAGTAACAAGGTGATTCAGTTCTCTTTACGACCGGAAAATATAGACAGAGATAAATGGATTTGTTTAATACGAAATATAACAAGTGAATCAATGAACTCAATTTGTACAACATTTTTAAAAACGCATTTATTGTAAACTATACAGTACAATATTAGTGGCAAGCCATAACAAATTGGTAAAACATCGTAGAAAACAAACATATTAGTCAGCTCTAGGAATAGCTACATTTGAGTACAAAAGGCATCGTTTGAACAAGGTTCCATGTAAAAATAAGTCGGTATAAAAAATAAACTGCCTGTTTAATACTTTAAGTCCGTGATGGATCGCTTGGTTTTCACTTGACATCCTTGAGAATCTGAGCAAACGACGGCGGAGGCTTAAAGTTGGTGACCTCCTTGTAGATCAACTCCTTCCACTTGTCCACCGGCAGATCCATATCCTCGAAGCTGTGATCGTATGGCGGCGAGGTCTGCTCGTCGCTGGGCTCCGCGTACTTCTCCAGATACGGATGGGCCAGTGCCTCCTCGGCCGTTATCCGCTTATCGGCATCCAACTCCAGCATCTTCTCCAGCAGATCAATGGCCAGCGGATTGGCGTTTTCAAACACCTTCTTGAAGCTGCGTCTCTTCATGGGCGGCAGTGATTGGATGTAGGAGCGTGCGCTCTCCGAGGAGATCTTCTTCATAAAGTCGGCGGGTGGCGTGCCCAGCATTTCCATGATCAAGTTTAGCTGATGGATGTGATCGGTCCCGGGAACAAGGTGCGCCTGGTGATAAGTTCTGCCATAATGCATCCCACAGACCATATGTCCACCGTCTGGTTGTAGTGCATCCAATTGAGCATGATCTCAGGGGCGCGGTACCACCTCGTGGCCACGTAGCCCGTCATCTCGTTCTCCGTGGGACGCGCCAAACCGAAGTCCAGAATACGCAGCTCGCAGTCTTCGTTGACGGCAATGTTCGAGGGCTTCAGATCGCGGTGGATCACTCCGGCGCTGTGGATGTATTTCAGTCCCCGGAGTATCTGGTAGACCAAAAACTGTACGTGGTCATCGGACAAGTGCTGCATCCGTATAATGTTGTTAAGATCCGCGTCCATTAAGTGGGTACCAGTACACCTGTTGAAAGTTCTCCAGCGAAGCGTTCGCCGGATGCGGATGGAATATGTCCAGCAGGCCGATCACATTCTCATGATCCATATGCTTGAGAAGTCGGAGCTCCCGATACGTCCTCTTGGCGTGCACGGCGGATTGGAAGGGCCTGGCAGCTTTTTGATGGCCACATGCATGGTGGTGCCCCGAACCAGTGCTTTCGAACTTGTCCGTAGGCTCCCGATCCTACGGGCTGCAGGTCCTGATATATTCCGGGATCTCCCATTCTGTCCGGTTTATGTCCAGCTTGTAGAACTTCTTGGTTATGGACGCTGACATGGTTTCGCTGTTGAAAGGGCGTCGTCACCCCAAATTAATGGTACCTACCAACGTGATATTAAACATTAAACCAGTACGACCGAAAATAGCGCGCTGATAACCTTTATCTTGAGGTAGCTCTGCGGCAATGTTACGGACCTCTGCTCCACGCCCAAGAATATCAACAACTAAATACTAGTCGCGGGCATATTTCGTATATTTGCACTATTACTCCATTCCAATGCCGATGCGTGTTAGGAATCCGTGAATCAGATCGACAGCGACTCGATCGGAAGCGACTTCCGAGTGCGCTACACCTCCATAATGAAACGTGCTTCAGATCACTAAAATACATACTTAGCTAAAGGCACGCTATTACGATTGTTATTATTAGACTGAATAAACTTTATGTAAGAACTAGTTAATATCAATGGAAGGCCATTCAGAAAATGTTACATTTGTACATAGAAAAGTTTTTAAGTACACATAAAACGATTATATTATCTATCAAGAAATAATTTACTATATTTGTCTACAATTTTTAATTAATTAACTAAAACCTTTCAAATCAATGTACCCTATGACCCTCCGTGTACCGCACATAAATAAAAATAAACACACGGCGTTGCCAGACCGTCCGTTGACAGAGTGTTGACAGTTCGATTAACATTTATCGAATGAAGATTTGAAACAGCTGTCTGATGTTTTCTCCGCGAATTCTTCACCCACCACCCCCTGACCGATTTTCCGTTGCACTTTTCGTTTACTTTGAATGAAAAAAACACAACCACTGCTCGCGCCTGCGCACTTGAACCACCGGACTTATCAAATACGTTAATCTAATCGTTCCTGACATACTCCGCCTAGCCATCCGACGAACGAACGGTTAGTTTCGCACCGAAGCCGCTCCCGCTCGCATCGTAATTTAGCAAAAGTAAGTGGATCAACAGGAATACCTTAATGGTAATGAATTAATTAGCGGTGTAAACCATAAGCATTACACGGTTTTATCAATGTTTACTCGGAATACGAAAATGCAAATGCTCTGGGGAGCGGGAAGAGTCACCTGAATCGCTGCGAACTACGACCTTTGGAACCTGGACTGGCAAACATGCAGATTTTCTTTAATCCACTATCTCAGATGGCACGGAACAGTGTTAACATCGATGGCAAGTTTAAAATGGTAAAAGATCTACGGACCGAATACGATTAGATAGCCCGGGGTGTTCAAAGTGTGGCAATTAGAGTCTCGTTTCGAGGGTTGCTTTAACTTCAACCCCCACACTAATTTTCTTTCACGTTATTCCGCGAAAAACCGTCTACTCCCCAAAGACCTACATATATTGGAATAGTTTTGTGTAGATAAAAAGCGTATAATATCCCTTATCTATCGTTAATAGCCTATTATAAAATTCAAAACCCTAAGTATCATGTTTCCACATCTTTGCAGGCACAAAATGACTTCGACCCTGCTGCCCGGTAACATTGTGTACGGAGGTCCTGTGACGGAACGAGAGGCCCAGAACTACAGATCCTTGGGACAGTATGTGCTGGACAAGTACAAGAGCTTTGGCGACCAAACGGTGCTGGTGGATGCCGTCAATGGAGTGGAGTACACGGCCAGTTTTATGCACAAGTCCATTGTCCGGCTGGCCTACATCCTTCAGAAACTGGGAGTCAAGCAGAATGACGTCGTCGGCTTGTCCAGCGAGAACAGCATCAATTTTGCCATAGCCATGTTCGCCGGCTTTGCAGTTGGAGCCACTGTGGCTCCTCTCAACGTGACCTACTCGGACCGCGAGGTGGACCATGCCATCAACTTGTCCAAGCCAAAGATCATATTCGCTTCCAAGATCACCGTTGATCGTGTGGCCAAGGCGGCCAGCAAGAATAAGTTCGTCAAGGGCATCATCGCCTTCAACGGAGGTTCCAAGAAGTTCAACAACGTCTACGATTTCAAGGAGCTGATGGACAATGACAAGTTCAAGACTAAGCCGGAGTTTTTGGGACCAGCCGCCAATAAGAACGACGACGTCACCCTGATTGTGTGCTCTTCGGGAACCACCGGACTTCCAAAGGGTGTACAGCTGACCCAGATGAATCTTCTGGCCACGCTTGACTCGCAAATGTAAGTTTAATGGGCCAGTTACAAAAGCATCATATTAATTCCTCCTCTCTAACAGCCAGCCTACCCTCATTCCCATGGAGGAAGTCACTCTGCTCACCGTCATTCCCTGGTTCCACGCCTTTGGCTGCCTGACGCTCATCACCACCGCCTGCCGCGGAGCCCGCCTGGTGTATCTTCCCAAGTTCGAGGAGAATCTCTTTCTCTCGGCCATCGAAAAGTATCGCGTGATGATGGCCTTCATGGTGCCGCCACTGATGGTCTTCCTGGCCAAGCACCCCATCGTGGACAAGTACGATCTGTCCTCGCTGATGGTCCTGCTGTGTGGAGCAGCACCGCTGAGCCGCGAGACCGAGGATCAGATCAAGGAGCGCATTGGAGTCCCATTCATACGACAGGGCTACGGTCTCAGCGAGTCTACGCTGAGTGTGCTGGTGCAGAATGACGAGTTCTGCAAGCCCGGCAGTGTGGGTGTGCTTAAGGTGGGAATCTATGCCAAGGTGATCGATCCCGACACCGGCAAGCTGCTTGGCGCGAATGAGCGAGGCGAGCTGTGCTTCAAGGGCGACGGCATCATGAAGGGCTACATCGGAGACACCAAGTCTACACAGACGGCCATCAAGGACGGCTGGCTGCACACCGGCGACATTGGTTACTACGATGATGATTTCGAGTTCTTCATCGTGGACCGCATCAAGGAGCTGATCAAGTACAAGGGCTTCCAGGTGCCGCCCGCGGAGATTGAGTCGCTGCTGCTCACCAACGACAAGATCAAGGATGCGGCGGTCATTGGCAAGCCGGACGAGGAGGCTGGCGAGCTGCCAATGGCCTTTGTTGTGAAACAGGCGAATGTAGAGCTGACCGAGAGCGAGGTGATTCAGTTCGTCAATGACAACGCCTCGCCCGCGAAGCGTCTGAGGGGCGGCGTGATCTTTGTCGACGAAATCCCAAAGAACCCCAGTGGCAAGATCCTGCGTCGCATTCTGCGCGACATGCTCAAGAAGCCAAAGTCCAAGTTGTAAGGGGATCGCTCTCCTTTTGGATGTGTGTGTAAAGACAGTTTACTATGTGTATGTTTTATTATTGCTAAACTTTGTTTTATAAACTACCAACTGGTTGGGTTTCGATTTACTCATATTTGGCTTTTCTTTTGAAGTATTCGCTTAAAACTTAAATACAAATAAAAACTCTTGGAACTCGATGTCGCAGATGCTCTGTGACATCGCCGGAGCTTGGAAAACTCAACTCCAGCTTGAATTACGTAGATGTCCGAACTATCAATAACAAGTTATATATAAACAACTACATACATTCGTTCTCAACATGTAACAAACTTCTGTTTTTTTCCCATATTGTTGTCGCTTCTATATATACTCATTATT